CAAAACTATTAGAAGGGAAATTTAGCATAAACAAAATAAATGCCCAGTTAGAAATGAAACTATGAAGTATGTGCGATGTAGTGATAATTTGGGGCAAAGGAAATACAAAATTTGTTTGATGATTTTGTTATGTCTTGAAAAATGTTCTTTGACTTGCGGAATTACAGTCATTGTTTTCATAATATTTGCCGAATTGTGGATCAAAATTTTTCAAATAAAATGGCACGTCCCCTTCCAAAATAAGCCTTAGTTACCCCCCCCCAAGTCCAAGGCAGCATATAGGTGGGCATTGGAGGGAATGCTAGAGTTTGAGCTGTAATTCGTTGGTTATTGTTTACACAATTGAAGCCCAAAATGAGTTATCTATTCAACCATTACAAAAAGGAAACTTTCGTACCTCTTCAACGCGCTGTCGTTTTTCTTCCGGGCTTTCGTCCATCTCTTCATCTTCTTCCCTAAATTTTGACAATAGCACAAAGTTCTTAAGCCTATTATCCGAACGATTTAAATTCATAAGCTAAGATTGTTATTGAAATCATTCTGTGATTTCAAAGCTTAGAAAAACCATTCTGTTTCTAAAACGGGAAGACTGATGTCGAATTAAATAATCTGAACAATTTTATCAAACGAAGCACTTATAGAGTAGCAGGGACATTAACAAGAAGGAGGTTTGAGACCAGATTAAGCTTTTTTGAAGCGGAGGCCTACTTGAATAATGCAATCTAGAACTTTGGTAAGGCAAAAAATGATAACTTCAGTGACAAGATTTCTTTTCTTAGCATACCTTATTAGTCCCAGCACAACAACAATACATCACAAAAATGACAGGGCACGACAATGACACGTCACAAGAACGAGTATTTTCTACAAAACAACATCAGTATAAATAAGCAACTGTAACAGTGCACTTTAAAAACTCTGACAATACCTTTGAGTTGGCGATTCCGCAGAGCGCCTTCTTTTCGCAGTTGTAGCATCCTGACTGTACCCACTCTCGTCCATAAACCTGCCAGCCTCGAAACCTGCTTGTTCGACCGAGCTATAGCCTTGGGCTTCAGAAACTGATGTTGAAGATGGCATGTCGGAGCCTTGAGTCAGTCCATCCCTAAGAAGCACAACGACAGCTTAATAATTTTGTTTCAACGCTCATTGCCATTGATAAACTGCCAATCTTAAAACTGATAGAATGAATTGAAAAATATTCTTTCTAGAGAATAGGAGAGAAGCAAACATTGAAGAATAGAAGAAGTCATCTTACGTTGCAACGCTAGGGAACAACCAGGAAGCGGTAACATGCATGTTTGTAAAGAAATTTGTATGCATATAATGACATACATTAAAATTAAATAAATAAACTTAAACATAATCACTTCGTTTATTCTTTATGCAACAAAGGGTTGAAATAAAAAAGCCACATATCCACGACGTCGCATAACAAAGTAATTTTCATAAGGAGATATAATGGCAGAGGATATTAACCGTTCTGCCTGATCCTCATTTTCCACTTGCTCCTCACCAGCTACAAACATAGAGCTACCGACATCTGTCAAAAGGCTGTCAGCTATATCGATTATTTCTGACGGGCGCATCTGCTCGGAGGATACCCCTTCCAGTTCCTCTGCTTCATCACTCCTCCCTTCCTCAGTTCCAGCAATTATTGGCGTCACCGTTGCCTGTGTGTCTGACCCAGATGTTCCCTCCTGAGCCTGAACGGCCGCTAAAACTCTTGGTGCCTTGAAGACTGAAGCTTGCCCCCTGTTAGATGCTGAAGGTGCTTCATGCATTCTTTGCTCGGGAGCAACGCTGGCTGTGCTAGCTCCGGCTGCACGTGACGGGTGCTGGGGGATAACTACTTGCGTCGTTGTTTGTTGGATGGGGGGAACAGTGGGGCTTACCATTGCAGTTGGTGTCTGTGCAGGAATCAACGGGCGAATACTGGCGGTTCTCGAGGACATGGGTTTTTGTGGCTGATTATTTGACGTTGAAGCTGTTGGTCTTACTGTCGCCGTCAATGGCGTAAACGCTGAAATGACGAAGAAATCCATGAGCCTCAATTTCTAAGCTAAAATAATTTTCTTTTAACATTTATGAAATGTATCCTATTAATTGACGTAAACATGAAAATAACCTCACCTGTAAATAGTTTAACAAAAAGAAAAATAACGCATAAATAAGCTTTCTTACTTTACAATTTTGTCGCATGCTTTACCCTATTTCTAGAGCATTTCGTCTACGAAACAAGCTTTTCAGGAGGCCTTATAAGATAAGCAGAAATAAATGAATAAGAGTGATCCAAGAGCAACAGTGTAAGCGGCAGAAGATCATACCGGCCGCCTCCGACACTGCGATGTCTTGTACGTGTTTGATAGCCGCTTGCGACTTGAGCTTCGAAATCGTTTCCTCTGCATCTGCAATTGCCTTCGCAAGTTCATTTGACCGCTCATCCGATTGTCTGTACAGAGAATTACAAACACATGAAAGTCAAAATGCAACACATTAAAGATGCAAGGAAATATCTGGAGTCCTTAAGCAAAAAAGAGTCAAAAGGAAAATCATCGAATATTGATTTTGTAGTACCTGTTCCCAATGAAAGCTGGCCTACTCTACCTTCTTTTAGGATTTTGATGAACAGAGCCTTTTAACTCAGAGACTTCGAGTTCATTAATTACAACAACAACAGCACCAAGTATCGCTGCAATACGACCTCACAACAGCGTTGATTAAACCATTCTTTAAATTCTATTTTGATTTTTCACTATTAAAGAAATAATGTTCTTTTTCTACTTAAAAATCATGAAGATGTCATCAATTTTAAAATGCTAATTTTCCTTCAAGTGAATTTTCTCTACAATTTCAACATACTTCTTATCTTCTTCCAAGTTTCGAATTCGATCACTTAAACTTTGGTTTTCGTTCTTCAGCTCGTTCAACGTGGCTTTCATTTTCTCAGCCTTCGAATCAAATTGACTTTTCATTGCCGTGAAGCGCATTTCCTTCTCCTTGAATTCGCTTTCAACCGTTTGATGTTTTTCCTCAAGCTCCTTTATTGCACTTTTCAGTTCCATGTTTTCATTTGTTGATTTATCAACTTGTGCTGCAAATAATATTTGAGAAAAAATAAAAATCTGCATGCTCTACATTCCACGTTACAATATTAGGTGTAATTTACTCAAAATTTACGGTATAACTAATTTACTTAAATTTCCTCGCTTGAAAATCATTGTAAGATTCTCCAAACAACCTTAAAGAATAAGTCTTTAAAGGCATTGAGTCATGACAAAATGGATTGGGCATACCCAAAGTGCCAAAATCCGCTGAGTCACGATTTTAATGACTGCGATGCTATTGGTTGACCTTAAACTGGTCACATGAACTCACCTCGTACTGAATAACAAAACAGTTTCCATCAATAGTAAGTTGTCAACAACGAATGCCAATATCACATGAAACAGCAGTGATCACGCCGAAACTAAATGACCACCTATAGAGAAGGCCTATTTACCATGACTCAATGCCTTTAAGGTTGTTTGAAGAATCTTGGGAATATAACATAAATCTTCAATTTGTAAAATGTGGACAGGTTTATGGAACTACCAAGATTATTTAACAGAAAAATTTACACATTGGTTGCAAACATAAGAATAACAGTAACATTGACTGCTATGCAATATAAATAATAAAAAGCATCAACTTGTCCTCCAGGTGATTGGCCAATTTTGATATTATAAGATATAATTTTCTGGATTGTTTCAATGAAAACTGGATGCAACTTGCAGGCAATCGACATAAATCAAAGTGGCTTTTCAACGTGTCAATCAAAATTGGCCAATCAATGAACGTGTGAGTGGTAACGCTTATTGATTGGCTAATATTGATTGACAGATGGCTTTTGATTGACATATGGCTTTTGATTGACAGATGGCTTTTGATTGACAGGTGGCTTTTGATCGACAGATGGCTTCAGCCCCTTTAGTATCTGTCGATTGTCTTTAAGTTAGGAGCATGAACAGAGCCACTTACCGTTGAGATCTTTCATCTTTTCTTTAGCTGAACGCAAGATCTTTTTCATTTTCTTTTCATTTTCGTCTCGTTCAGACAAAACAGTCTAAAATATTGAAAAATGATGAAGTTTAGAAAATTTGTCCATTAAAAGAGGACGTCTCCCTAACGAAAAGACAGAACTGGTAAACTTAAATATCATCTCACAAGTGAGTCACATTGTGGAATCTTGAGTAGGCAACTTTTTTCAATAAATACACTACCGCAACAAAGTATTGCCCCACCTTGAAGGTGGAGAAATGAAGCATAAAAGATCGAGAGCTATTGCTATGCAAATTAACTATGTTTTTAAGTGGTGAATAAGATTGGATTGCACGTAAAACGACCACCAATCAGAGCTTCAATCACCTTAAACAATTTGATATCATAGTCCTAAAGCTTTTTGTACATCGACCATGCAATGCCAAGCAATCATGTAATTGAAACGATTTTAAGTGGTGCATTAGCAAGTAAGATTATTCAAAATACCGCTTTCTCCTCAACTTCTTTTGAAAGTTTGGCGTTCTCTTCAGAGAGCTGTGAGAGCTTTTCACTCGATTCATCCGACCCTTGTGCTGATTCTCCAGATTTTGCGGCATGATCTTCGACATTCTTCTGCACTTCTTTTTCCAACCGTTCAACATTTGATTTAAGTTGGGCGTTTTCCTTCTCGAGCTCAGCGAGTTTCTGGTTGTCCACATTAGTTTCACTTTGTGGTGCACTGCCAGCCTCGACGCTGGCCTCTTTTGATTTCTGAAGTTCTTTTATAAGTCCCTGATACTTGAGAGCACGAATCTTCAACTAAAAGTCAATGTAAATCAGGATATAACTATAGGATTACAGTGCTTAGCGTTTTTCCGCGACAATGATTAACAATTAATGATAGATTGTGATCAATGATTAATGGTAGTTTGTGTCAGCTAATATATGGCAAAAACACTATGAGGCGTTACAAGCGGACGTTCTTGGGTTTAAAGAAGGGGCAAGCCCCAAGCTCGAAGGGTTATTTGCTTACGCATTTACACACCAACATTTGGGCCTATACAACAAACAAATTGCTATACAACATCAGTAGAATTTTTTGAATTGACCAAAGGTCAAATTTACGTTTTAACTGAAAATGCACAAGTGGTTCTGGCACAGTGATCAATGAAATTTTAATCAAAATATTGATTCTTAAAAACAAAACCTTTTCAAACTTCGCATTTGCAACGGTTACGTGAGTCTCTTTTGCAGCCACATCTTTCTTCAGAACCTCGATTTCATCTGCAGTTCTTTTTACAAGTTGTTCCTTTTCGGCTTTAATTGTGTCTGCTAATGTTGTGAGAAGTGCTGCTTTGTCCTGTTAAAAATTCAACAATGTAACTTTACAATCATCATCTCTGTATACATTGTCAATGAGAGAAGGCTTCACTGGCTAGTCAAAGGGACCTCTTTCAACTTCCAGTTTCAAACCTAAAGATACAGATTATATATCTTCTTTCAACGATATACAGATTACATATCGCCCATCGGCATTGGTTTGTTTATAGTGGTATACATGTAAATATAACTAGCCCATATCTACCTGCATCTCAGATAAATCTTTCTTCAGTTTCAATGAATCTTTTGACGCTGCCTCCTTCTGTGCTTTCAGGCGAACTATCTCGTCCTTCAGGGCACCCATCACTTTATCGTTCTGTGCTTTTGTATTCTTCAAGGGTTTCAGTTCCTCCAACTCGGTTGTAGCCTTTTTGTTCTGTTCTATGAGCTGCTGCGCCCGCGTTGTCCATCTTTGAATCTAAAAGCAAATAATAGTATAGTGAAAAAATGTAGGACAAAAGCGATGAGATCAAAGAAAAGGCAGAAGCCATTCGGAAGACTTATTTGAGGGAAGAAACTTTTGCGGAAAGAAACCCTCGCATTTGTGCTTTTAACGAATTTTAAAATTGGTTTCGTTGTTTGTTGGTATTACGAAGTGTTTTCGCACGAAATTCAGGTTTTTATTTAAACATGAAAGTTCGTCCTCGCAAAAGATTTTATTTCGATTCTCGAGGAAGTCGATTAAAAATCTTCACGCTTTTCTCAGTTTTCTAAACCTTCTTCCCGCGAATCTTTTTCAAAGTTTTCTTAAGGGGTTGCTGTGGCAAGTTGAGCCCAGAGGTTATTATTCCTGGTGCGAGTTGGCTTCTGTGGAATTGAGCAATGTTCACATGGTTGACGAATACTACTAAAATGCATTTGACAGACATCTTACTTCACTCTTTAATGCAGTTTTCTCAGCAAACCAGCTGCCTTTTTCTTCTTCCAATGATCTTCGTCCCTCTTTCATCGATTTGATTTGATCTTCCAATTGTTTCACCTTCAAAAAACAAATTTTTTTTTCACTCTACCAACCCTTAAACTCTCCTCATATTTTTTTCTCAGAAATCTGCAATTAATTTTTTGGTATTCTAAAGCAATATATAATTTTTTTGTAAATATTTGGCTTGCTCTTCTTAATATTGCATTATAGAATCCTAAATATGGAATTTTGAACCTTTAAAATTGTAGTAGTGAAGCAGATCGCAAAGTCTCGTAGCCTTGATGATATCGAGAAATCTTTAAAATAAAATTAACAATTCAGCAATTGATAATCGGTGGTGCACTTTTTTAAACTCTTAATGATTTAACTTTCAAGGGTATCTAGAAATCTTTAGAGACAAATAAAAAGAGGATATTTAAAAAACTTTACAGAGAAGCCAAACGAGGCACAGAAAGTTTCTTGAACTGGAAACAAAGAAAAATATGACCAAATTCCTGCTGGCTTTTGGATACGTGAATGATTTTGCAAAATAAATAATGGGACATTTCTTAAAAAACGTGGCAAAAATTAATATTTTAAACAAATCAACCCATAACGAATTGCAATTAAACGAAAAAGGTATTTAAAAATTCGACAGAAAAAGCAATCAATTGTTGTTAAATGTGGCCAGGCACAATTTCTCCACAGCAAGGAGCAAGGAGATAAACGTCTTTTCTGGTGAAGAAAACATGATAGAAGCTTGTATTAAACTTCTTTTGAATTTAAAGCAACTGACATAGCTTAGCAGAAGTACCTTAGCATTAACAGTAGAATGCTTCTTCCCCAGCTCTTCCTTTTGCTTTTCAAGCTCTTTATTCAACTCAGTGAGCTCTGCAACGCGAGCCACCTTGGCCATAATGTCCTCGTGTTCCTCCTTACTTAACATCAACCCCAGAGTGCGTTTTCTTTCAAGTTCCAAAGCAGCTTGGGTTTCTTCCAGTTCTTTTTCGAAATGATCACATCTTTGTCGGTAACGGAGACTCTCTGATTGCAGGGCTTCGAATTTCGTCTCAGCTATTTCTTTTTCGCGTCGTATAAACCTTCAAAGGAATTAGCAAGGTCACAAACTGCGTCAATTATCTTATATCACTACTAAAATGCTCCGTCAATTAACTATTAGGAAAACAACAATTCAAATAAGAGCTTCAGAACTAGATATGTCAAAGATGAGAAAATAATTGACATTAAAAATAAATTGCATAACAACAATAATAACGTTTATTTTAAAATGGGGGCGAAACAATCAATCTTGAAACTACGAACCAGGGTTTGAGACAGTTGAATGGCTGCCCTTACCTGATCACTTCATACAAGTCTTCCGTCGACTGTTCCGCAGATTTGCCAGTCTCCTCCGACAGTTTAGTGATTTCGTCAACTCTCCGTGACTTAGCATCAACAATTTGCGAACTTAACTAATAAGAGAAAAAATGTGACTTGGGTAATTAAAAATCTAATCACTTTATACTTTAAAACCTCCAAAAGACTCCAAAATATATGCTCATGACATGCAAGAAAAAAGGCAGCTCTCGGTACCGGAACGATTTCCATATGTTGAGAATTCAGTCCAAAAGAGCTTATACACCAGGAAGCAAATTTTCTCAGAAAATTCTTAAAAAGAAAGGACACCCAGAAGTAGGCTTAAAGTGTCAAAAAGTTATGAAATCAATTATAAAGAAACCTTTTCAATTTCCTTGTGTAATAAAGAATTTTGCTCAGAAATTTGTTTACTGTGCTCCCTGATTTTCTTCATCTCCTCCGCATGGTGAATTTTCATATTCTCCATGGCCTTCTCTGCAACGACCATTTTTTCTTGAGCCTCTCGTGCATGATTTTCCGAAGAATCAATCCTTTTTGCGTATTCATGAAGCTGAAAAGTAAAGTACAAAAAGTAAAACAAATCTAAATCCGCAACAGGAATAAAAAAGTTTAAAAAGTTCTAAGATGCTAATTCATCTTTGATTTGCAGAGCTGTAATCGTGACTCTATGAGAGACATTACGACATTTTACAGAACCTTTTGAAAAATGCCAATAAACATTACAGGAATTTTTACAGAGGCTTGACCCCTAAAATCTCAAGTGAAATGAATTAAGCGAAAGACTTTCACTTATTTCTATCAAATTTTCACTTATTGCTATCCTCCCTGAAAGCCGTGAAAACTAAGTGATATTTCCTACAACAGTGAACCAAAACCAGTGCATGCTCTCCAAGGATTGCACTGTCAAACTTCAATTGGGCAAACGTCAACTGTTCCTACTGAGCAGCTTTGCGTTTGTGTAAAAGACCTGAGCAGCATTAATTATTGACCAAAGTTATGGTTCCTAATCTCAAAACCATGACGATATAAAAGCAATTTTTCGTAGTGAAAATACGTTTCAAAGAATATTCAGATATTGAAGCTTATAGATAGTTAAAAAAACAAAGAAAAACGCACCTCCTCTTTGACTTTAACAAGTTCTTCGACATCCTTTGCGTGCAATACCAGTTCCCGCTCATATTTTTCTTGTTTCTACAAATAAAGATGACGTCACTAAATAAAGGGGCACCTTTTTGCATATTCTGTAGAACATTCTTGTGCAAAAAATAATAACTTCAACATGGCGGTAGATTTAGCTATTTTACTAGCACTTGACAAAACCAGTGATACTGTTATGTAAAAATGAACATGAAAGTTCGCAGTGACTTAAGGAGTATGGCAGAAATTAAAAAGAAATCAAATTAAGCATTCATTTAAAGAATCACTATAACTAATGACGTCATATAACATGACATCACCTATACGTAATTTCCCAAAGATAGATTCAACTAAAAAGGCAAGCTCAAAGTCCTCTTGCAACAAAAGAAGACACACGTTTTGCGTTCCCACTATCTACAATCTACGGCAATTTAATGTATTCTGATACCTCAGTTGCCGCAGCAGCGTACATTTTGGCATCAGCCTTGGCAGCTTCAGAATGCTGACTTGAACTCTCAATGCTTCCTTTTACAGCATTGTATTCCCTCTCTAGACTAACATAGGACTGCCTTGCACTGTTTAGTTGAGCACTTAACTCCTGCTCTTTCTTCTCCGCTTTCGACTTTCGTGTCGCTAACTCAACTTTGGTAGCCTCGAGCTGGCGTGAAAGCTCATTGGCTCGTTGCTGCATTGACTGTAACTTGCTGCTAGTCTCTTTCTGGAGGATGGCATATTTCTGCAAAGAAGAAAATGCAAAGTGACGCAAGTGCAAGATGTTTATATGAATGAGGGTGTGCAGTTTTGATCACTGTACTGCATATCAATGAGCTAGCTAACTACCATTCCAAGCTTGAAGGTGTCAATAAGACACTCTTATATCCTTTACCATTATCCTGTTTACAAAGACTACGGCATTCAGTATGAGACGCAGCAATACGGACGATAGAAAATAGATACGGCGACAAAAATTTATAGAGGATAAAATTGAAATGTAATAGGAATAAGACAATCAACGGTTTTTCCATGAGTATATTCTTTATTCTCATTGCCTTTCTCAATGACCTCCCGCTCTCACGGCTATTACAAAAACGGGCCTTAAATGTTAATAGCCTACCTCGTTTGCATCTTTCAACGCTTCTTCACACGAGGCTGCTATCTGTTTGTACTGTTCCACATGCTTACTAGAGCTCTGGGCTTGGCTGCTAAGAGCTGTCAAAAGATTTTGTTTATCAGAAGAAGCACAGATACACAAAAGGTAAAAGTTATATGCGTAAATGGATGCAGAACATATGTCATAAAATCAGCTGGTAACATATCTTTGAAGCGAACTAATGTTATCCGACAATGTTGAAAACCATTCTGCAAAAAAAATACAATAGACAAAACATCGTGTGCATACATTCTTCTCGCTAGGGAAAAAGAGAAGGATTCTTCAAAGGAGCCACCAGAGCACTTGGGGGTTAGTTGTTTTGGGAATTGCAGAAGAACAGGCATCTAATGAAAGATATTTCTGATTCAAGATAAAGCAGAGGGTCGAAAACCGCTGCACATACCTTTCATTCTTAGTTCTGTTTCACTAAGTTTTGATTGGAAAGACTTTTCTTTCTCTTCATGTTGCTCTTTAATTTGTTGGATATTCTCAGCTGTAATGGAATTCATCACATTTTCGATCAGAAATAATAATGATGATAACAATGAAAACTATGATATTGTAGAAACAAAGTTATGAGTGAAAATTGGCCCGTGTCCTTAGATGAGTTGGTTAATGTGAATTGCAAAATACAAGTATGCCGAAGACATGACTTTATTGATGACAATAATGGCAGCTTTACAAAATGCATTACAAAGATCTTCAAAAGTATCCTTGGCTGTGCCAACGAAGATCGGTAATAAATTCGTCTTGCATCTGGAAGAGATAAAGCGAACAAATGTAGACAAAGATCAGTGAAATTAGATTTGAGAATTGGCAACAAAACGAAGAACAGCTTACTTGCTGAAGAGTCATCCGCCTCCACAATGGCTTTAAGTCGAGCCTCGCTGGAAGCTAAATGCTCCTCTAATTCAGTGCACTGTGAAAAGATTCAACATTAGTTTGAATCAGTTAATTGACCGCTGACAGAAGGAATTGAAAATGGAATGGCAAAGGAAATAAGAAAAGAGAAGAGTAAAAAGATGGAAAAATAAAGGAATACGATTAGAGAGCAGTGAAACACAGTTAAAAGGAAAGGAGAAACAAAAAGGGGAACACGAAAGAACAGGATTAAAGTCACTGCTTGGACTGCCTTTTGTGGAAACAGAACAAGATAAATAAGTCCTTCAATTTTCAAGAAACATGTTCCTTAAAAGTTGTTATTATCCGTTCTCTGGAATTTATTGCGAGTCTTGAATGCAGATAAAAAATATTTTTAAAATATTCGATAAGAATTCAAAACCAGTACAATTATAAAGACTGTCAATGCTTTAATTATAAATAACTTAATTTCAAGTTTAGGCTTTTTCTTAGGTCATTAACAGTTGCCAATTGAAGGGCCTTGTTGATAAAAGCAAATCTGTTTCTGACAAGGTAACCCTGTATGAACAATTAAATCATAATTATCATAAAGTCCTTCTTTCTTTGATTTAAATTTATAAACCATCTATTTCAATTGATTTTGCCCATGAATGGATTTCTCATTAGTATGAAACTCTTTGTCAAGAAAAAAGAACGATTTGGCTAACCTTCAATTTGGCAGCGTCGAATTCTGTCATAATCTCATTGAGTTTTTTCTCACTGTCTTGACGAAGTTTCTTCTCTTCACTCAGTTCTTTTTGGAGCTTTTCCAGTTGGTGCTTAAATTCAAATATGGAATTGAATCATTCTACAGAAAATGGAAGTCTGAAAGTATGACGATAATTTTAACTAAAAAAAGATTTTAACCAAAAAATATGACAAATAATTTTTATTTACATTCAGAGAGCCAATGCTAGTTTTCTTGTTCGCCTCCTGGGCATCAAGATTTCTTGTCAGACCCTTCATTTCCAATTGCAGCTCCTCAACCTGTTTTCCAAGAGCTTTTCGAGTTTCAAATTCTTGTCGTTCAAGATTATTCTGAAATATCAAACCAGATCAAGTAACATATGAGGCACAGAACACAAAACGCAAAAAACTAAGCAATTGATATTTCCAGCTAATCTTGTCCACGGTAGATGCAAACAGATTAGACACACAACAAAACCTGAACGATAGCCCTTGATAGAATCGATAGAAAATTTCATACTTCGAACTATGTTAGGTAAAAATATTTATTCAAAGTGTTTTTGTGCCAGACTTATTTTTCACGCATTGGCAGGCGTGTGATTGTGGATTTCACGGCACAGCAATATCCTATGACCTCCATAGTTATTTGAACTTGATAATCTGCAACGTATAAACGTGCCATTGTTGATCGAAACTGATAAACCTAAATCCTATACAGTCGTGGATAAGAAACATGATTGGCTATTAAAGCAACCAATCATTGCTAACACTGCAAAGCTAGACCAATAGCTATGCATGGAGCTAAACAATAGAAGTACGAATTCTGTCCTTAAACAAGTACCAGCTTAAAATGCCTACAGCGAAAGGCAACCTTGTCCTAGGCAGTCAGTTTTCTCTTAGAGGTGTTGTCTCGGCATGCATGGACGGTTGTTGGCGTTGAGCTCTATTACAAAAAACGCTTCCTTATAACACGATTGTACGTAGTCGCCCTAATACCTGTATAGTTTGAAGGTTTGTCAAGAGGACATTCTGGCTCCTTTGTTGCTCAATCAATGTTTTATTTTCTTGCATCAAGCGTTGTTCCGTCCCTTTCATTAACCGTTTCTCAGTGTCTGATGATTTCAGAGCAACCTTGTAGGTAAAAGAGACAAAAATGAAAGAATAAGACTTTTTTAGATAGCTGTTTTGAGACACATAAATTGCTGTGATTACATCATTAAAATATACTTTATGCAAAAACAGTAATTGTAAAGCACTACTTACAAAAGAGTTTAGACTCAAGCCCCCCTTCCCCACCACATCTATCCATTTAAAAAACTTGTGACGATTAAATTGGTTCGTCATCATTAGCTTCACAGTAAAAAGTAAAGTTTTTGTTGCAAATATTTACTGTAGCACGATCCAAATTCATATTGCTTTCTCAATCATCTTTGCTTCGATTTCTGTTCAGTAAATTTTCATTTGGCCCGTGACGCAGAACATGTTAAAGCTTTTGCATTTTCTACCGGTTAATGTTTGACACCCAAGATTTACCGGCAGGACACCGATAAATAAAGGTTTATAGTAAAAGGTAATCCTTAAAAGATAATTCTATAACATTTCGTGTTCTGATGATATATCATTAAGGTTACGGTAAACGTTTTCTGGATGAAAACATCCATGGCACACAATAATACCAAATTTGAAAATAACAGAACTTGTGAAGATAGAAAAAATCCCATGTAAACGAAGGTTTCCATAATTTGATGAGGCCTGAAAATCTCTTGAACTGTTAAGACGATTATCGTTGCTTTGCGGTTGTGGTCGCATGTCTCTTTTACAAAATCGCATGGCACATCCATGTATCCAATCTCCAATGTATGGCTATGTTATTTAAACAGACTTATTGATCTTAAAGCTTCAAGTGACTTGACCCGGATTACACCTATTGTACCTTGTGGTTTATGAGTGTACTTTTAAAGGGCGATCACAGTAAAATCCCGTTTTTCCGAACTTATAATTCGTCTACATACAGGTACGAAAAAGCTATTTTGTACCCAAAGAACCAATCTAATGGCTCAAAACTTTGCAAACGGCCGGGACAGATGTCGGGTAAGGAAAGTGTGTCTCATAATTTTTGTTTTTGCTCTGGTCAGTCTTTTATAGCCAAATACAAATATGAGAGGGAAGAAAAAATTTTTGCCAATTTTTGACAGGCTATAGTTTCAAGGGGAGGAGGAATTTTAAAAATCTGAGACATACTTTGGTAGCTTAGGATCTGCGCTTTCTGCTGATATAAGTCAGATTTTGTTACCTCAAACGCAAGGGTACAAAATAGCTTTTGAAGGTGGTACACTCATTTAAGCAATAAATTTGCCTGGAAAGTATCATTTTGCAATATTTGCCAATGATTTTGATATGGTTGGAATCGCCACATTCTTGTGCATCGAATGATGCATAGTTTAATCAGATTCCGTTAATAGTTTTGCTTTTAGGGAGAGAAAACCAAATATCGTGTCAAAAACGATTACCGTAACCTTAAGCGATAATGCAATGTTTCAAAAAATTATTGATAAAAATAATTAATCGAGGTGGGCATTAACGAGCGGCTCTGTGTGTTGTAAATGTAGGCTTTAGAGAAGAAATCAACTTTATCACAAAGCTTGAACCCAGAATTTTTATCTAAAATACTGTAAGTATGGGAAGACTGGAAATAAGAAACACATACCTCTAAGTTTATGAGTTTCTCGTTTGCTGCTTCAAGTTCCTACGAAAGAAAGACAATGAAAATTTCATTTTAAAAAAATTGCATACCTCTATAAAAGAGTTAACAGTCTTGATTGAATCAAAATAAACCATGTTATATACATGAAAGAAAGAGAACCAAAATACCATCAAATAACAATGTCACAAAAAGGTTTCTACGCTCTGCATGGTACAATTCATCCACTGTACAAAGATATTCAAGAAAGGAAAGACGCGTGTGCAATACCATAAACAATTACAAGCAACAGGAAACTGGAGCCTCGATTCTACAAAAATGATAATTTATGCACATTAATTATTTCAGGGTAAAATAAAGTTAGTATTGTTGACAGTGGCAAACCTGCTTATAAAATGCGGCCTCCTTCTGCTGCTTGCTTACAGCAGTTTCAAGACCGCGGCTTTTCATTACCAGAGCCTCCGATTCACGGGTCAGTCCATCATTGGTGCGTTTTAAAGAATCATTCTTCTCTTCGAGGAATTCAATCTACGTAAAAAGAAAAAAAGAGATATCAGATTTCATTCTTATAAGAAAATACCCTTACACTAGAAGACAATTTACCAAATTTAAAAGAGAGCTGATTTTGCCTAAAAGGACATTTTTGCAATGTTTTTGAAAATGTAGGGGAAGGGCATTGGGGGCATGGTATAAGGAGCAGTGGATATGGGGGTAAGAGATGGGGGCAGGTTAAAAGGGATAGGAAGAGGGTACAGGGGGCAGTAAACTGCTGTACGGAAAGAGATAGCAACAAGAGATTATCTTAAGGCAAATTGCAACTGCAATTGAAAACTGAAAAAGGCAGGCATTATTAATCTATCAGGTTAAGACTTAGTACCACAAATAGAGAGGTAATTCCTTATCGTCTTAAGTATGCAAAAGACAGATAGAAGAAAAGAAATAGTTCAATTAAAATTGCAAGTGATACCTTTCCTTTGCCGTGTTGATTTTCACTGCGCAATTTGGAAACCTCGTCTTCTAATTTTTCAAGCTTCGTTTGCAACGAGCTACAAAAAAGAAATCACAAAGTAAGCATTTGGTACTGCAAAACTTGAAAATAGCACAGACAAAAAGAGATAATGCATAATTTATATCGATTATCGCCAGTGACTAAAAGATTTATAGACAAGGATATATTGGCCTAAACCATTTCACCCCGAGTAGACCCCATTTTTGTGTTTATATTTTGCATGCGCTGTGCGCTTTGGTGTATAGAACAGGGCGGCTCTGAGCAGCAATTTCTGGTTTCATTCTCAATGCGATCATCGTACTACTGTTATGTGAAAATGAAAATATACAACTTTTTCACCTTTCTTTGGCTGTGCTATCGGTTTTATACTTTTCAAAATCTTCAGTGATCCGAGTGAGATGCGCTTTTGCCTTCTCAAGATCTGCCTCTGTTTCAGCTGATGCCATTGTCGACTGTTGCAAGAAACTTGTTGAGGATATCTGCGAGAGAAAACCGCAGAAAACCCGAGTGATGGCACTGCCGTCATACACAATGCAAGTCTGTCCAGTTATTTAAGAGATAATCGCTCCCATTTATCAGTATTTACGTCTAGTATATCTACCTCACGTGAAGCTATACTTTCTAAAAGTTAAAATACAAGGGGAAAAAAAGATTTAAAAATCCTTAAGAATAGAAATCTAACATAAGCTGACAGTAACAGAGAATAGACGTTGGTCGTTCTTGAAGGGATTCAACTAACATTGATATCAAATGCCGAAATAGAAAGAAGATACTTCACGGATGTCATGAAATTATAATTCATTCACTGTTTTGAGGTGCAGTGAGTGAGTATAGATTGTAAAAATTACGCGTAGTGAGTATTCCCAAGGGGGGAAAAACACTGTACCCTTTTACTCTATAACTCCAAACATACTTAATGGAAATCTACGTTTCAAATATCACGAAAGTAAGATATTGCTTGATTGAGGTCCTGAGGTAAAACAAGGCTCACATACTTCTGGTCTTTCTTCTGCATTGTATAGAACCTTGTACATGTCGCGTTGCTTGACAAGAGTTTCAATCTAAACATCAAGTCAAAAAATCAAATAAGCGCAAAATAAAGTAAATCAAGAGACTAAAAAGAGCTAAATGTACAGCAGAACTTTGAAACTGGGTATCTGGAGCCTCTTAGGCCCGATACACGTAAAACTCAACTGCTATTATCTCCACAAAGATCTACTGCTCATCTATTTTTCTTCCTGTTCGCTGATAACCTTGTAATGCTTTGCTGCTAGTTATATGAAGGGCAAAAATCGCTAATGTAGGGTAGCAATGTAAAAAACATGTATAACAAAATGACTTTATAACTAACAAAATAGCCATTTAATTTTATTTCAAAGTGAACGACACCACAAAAGTTGTCTGGAAAGAAAGTTCCAGCTTTGGTCTAAATAGTTCCTAGCTCTGTAAGTACCGAGGGATCAGGTCCCATACAATATCCCCGTTTCGGTCTATGTCATTCCTCTAAGCAAATTTCTTCCTTAATTTCATTTCCTAGAAAAAACGTTTGTTTTCTTTTCCATTCTAGTTCATTTTTCATCCGGAAACTTTATCCTTTAAACAGCAGTGAAACTGAAATAAACAAATTTAACGCATAAGTAACAGCACTCACAATTTCGTTCTGTTTTTCCCTTTCATCTTTCATTTGTTTAACTTGCTCAAATGCCAAGTTCAGCTGGTCGGACAGCTCGCTCATTCTAGGATCGCAAAACAATCAATTAGTAAATTCAGAAACTTTCACACCATCATCTTAAACATTTTCGTTGACTTTCCTGGAATGCTTTGAAAAGTTTACTGAGCAGGTTCGATTGTGAGAAATTGCCTTAAATGCTTCTCTCTTCTTGAGCTTCCCTTTAATAATCCTCCTGAAATCTTCAATAATGAAATATTTAAGTATATATCTTTCTTAAAGTACGGTCCTCTAACAACAATCACCTAAAACTCACATACGATTGCAAATCTTTACAAAGAGATTTCCTGGTTAGAAGGAAAATTATCAAAAAATATCTCAAAACAATTAAAAAAATCTCAAGTTTGTCAATAAGACTGCAAGTAAAACTTTTAGGATCCGGATACAAAAATATTTTGGGTAGTAGAATTTACATAAAAAGCATTGGCCTACTTTTCTACTGAACATTCCTTCTCTTGTTTCTCCCTTTCTTCGCTAAGGTCTCTAACAACGGTTAGCAGCTTCTGGTTCTGTTCTTGCAGATCCTCGATGTTTCTTTAATAAATATTATCGAAGCAATTAGTAAAGATGTGAGGGTTGAAAACATTATGGGACATTAGTGGGATGCGCAATAATTATTTGAGAGGCTTTGCAGATTTTCATGAGCCTAAGTGTGCTATGAGGGTCACACCTGACAGAGTCAGTATGACAGTTTGGGGACACGCAGCAGTATGCACAGTCAATAAAGGCCAGACAAATTTATAATAAAGAAATCGCTTCGCTTAGCTGCGGTGAACTGCCATTAAATTGGCGGTTAGATTCGAAACTCGGGAATTATACGAAACTCTAGTTTCTGGAAAGAATTAACAGTTTCTGGTAATAAAAAACATTCATCCAGTGGTGTGAGGTTAAGATTGTTGAAAATATTTTTGATGTTGTTACTAAATTATAAAAAAACAGACCCCAAAAATTATCAGTAAAGGAACATCTTGCAAATCTATTTTGGTTATTTCACTGTTTTGTTATCCGTCAACTTGAAAATAATTCAGTTGGTGTCTCTCAGTATATTTAAGTAAATCAAGTAAAGTAATGCAGGTTTAAAATTTTCAAAAGTGAGAATAGACAGCAGCGTGGTTTGCAATAGGGATTTTGGAGCAAAATTCGCAAACATTTGCCAACCAACAAGGGACAGTTCGTTGTTTGTGACTGATTGGACACTTACTTGAACGAGACGAGGTGTTCGGAAATGACTTGCGAGGAACTTGAAACTTTGTCACTGGAGATCAATTCTGGCACCTTGTATTCCGTGCTGACAACACCTCCTCGAGCCTCCTCAACCTCTTTCAACAGAACACGAACCTGAAAGGAGACAAAAGGGTGAAACCAATGCTTAGGGGGTACCCTATGCAAGTTACACGCAATTTAATACCCATACCAACTACTTGGAATATATCCAAACAATAAAACTCAACTACAACATACTCCATTCAATGTACCACAATGTACACTATTTATCGTCTAAACTCTATCATTCTATTTCGAATGTCCACAACAAGTACACAACCACCTAAACAATTACAATAAAAATTGCACTTATTTTGTCACGCTGTTGTTTCTGAAAAAAACAACGTTCGGCAGAGATTATTTGTCTTTTTGATGCCACGCCCTAACAACACTATACTATAAATCTTTGATGCCACGTCAAAATGCTATAAATCACTGATCTAAAAAAGACCGAATTCATATTTGAATTAGTGTGATGGCATTTGAAGCTAGATCTTGCTGTTTCTTAAAGTGACGTCAGAAACCATACAATATTTCAGTTTTTAACTTTAGAAAAGGTACAGCTCTGTACAGCAAGTGGGTCACAAGATGTCTTATAAGTTGCAAATTTTCTTAGTTCAAGCTATGCCGGATCTTTCTTTGAATCCTCCAAGAATAATGTCAGTTTTTGCCGAACATCTAATGGTCTCCTTAAGAAGCATCAACGCGCAAACTGCCTGTACCCGAATAATCAACCTTAAAAAAGTCACGAATAAAACTTTTTAACCAAGCTTCGTAATATAAACATCAATGCAATGACGAATACACAAAGAATATACAAGATCAAGTATATAACATATATCTTGTAGATAAAAGAATAGGCTAAAATGACGCAAGTTGATAAATAAGTACGGTCTGGTGCCGAGTTTGATATTCTGATATTTGTTTGATAATATTCAATATGTTCTCAGTAAATGTTACAAATCATTTGAGCTAATAAAACTGCCGAGCGGATCTGATAAAAACATCGTTTCTATATCATAAACAAAGTGTGATATTCGGAATAGCCTACCTGTTGACTGAGGTCAATACACAGTCTGTTCATTCGTTCGTTCTCTCGCTTGGTGAAATCAGCCTTTCTTGCATAATCGTCTTTTTCAGATTGAGACCTCTCGCATTCCTGCAAAAAGAAACGACATTGCTAACAACGAAACAAAATTTACTATATAAATCTATAATATATAATTACAATTCTTCCTGTGGAATCTATTTCTTTGAAAATAATCGAATGCATTAGGTGCACGTATGCCCCCTGTTCAGTGGCCACATCTTCCGTATCTTTAACTGACTCAGTCTATAGAAGCAGTTTCCAAAAGCTGCTACGATACCCAATTTCGTCATTTTTCTTGCCTACCTCATTTACTCAAATAAATACGCTACATTAATCCAATAAACAAGAGCGTTTCCTGTAAGAGACTTAAGTGAAACTTCATTGCGTTTTTTCCTTAGCTAACAGAGTGAAACTTCATTGCGTTTTCTACAAACAGTCGTTTGGCAAACCTCTTATTTCAACAAAATTTTTTTCAAAAATATTAATTTCTGCTGTGTTTTTGTTTATTCGAATGCATGCACCATAAATATAACATGAATAATTTTATTCCTTTAGGCAGGAAACGACTACCAATTACACATTCACAAAATGAAACGTGTTACAAAATCAAAGGCTGCGAAGCTCCAGGTTAAAAACTGAAAACCGCATAGAAAAATTCAATTTTTCTCTACATCTTTTAAATAGTCCATTAGTGTACTGTGTGGCTGTATTCAATACACTTCAAAGCTTGACTTAGACTCTCCAAACTGAGTTTTTTAAAGTTTCGCAAAGGAGTTACTTCAGTTTCTGACCAAGAATTTTCAATCACTTACATTCATTGCATCATCAAACTTCGCTGTCAGATTTTCGATTGTCTTCAGGGCGTTTTCGTAATCTTCCCTTTGTCGCTGCAGGAGTGGGGCTTTCTCCTCAATTTCCTAAAAACAGAAGTTATTAGTGAAACGAAGCAAGGATATTTCGAGCTCTTACAAAATTCTTTGATTTCGCATTCTTTCTTTACTCGTTTCCTTTGCATCTTTCTTTGACCTTTTCTTCCAACCGTCCCTTTTTGGACCCCACGAAGGTCGCAAACAGCAACACCAATGCTAATCATGGCGAATAAAGGGATAAATGCTTGTAGCTACAAAATACGATAGACAAAATGCTGTCAACACACTCGGGTTACATGTAAGTGCGTAGGAAATATAGCCATAAAGTTGCTGATCTTACCTGCAGGATCTGATCGAGATACTGCTTCAGCCTTGTGTTTTCATCTTTCTCTAGCTCCAGAGCGTCAGAAACCTCGACATATTCACTGTATATCTACAAACAAGCCAATACACTTAACTAAATAAGTCAAAAAATCAAAATAAATTCAGTCCTCAAATCACATTACAAATAAGCCAATGTCCAGGGAGACAAGTGTAAATTGCTCACGAGACAAATTTATATATAAATGCGCGCTTAAAACAGTTTTATAAGTTCTAAGTTATGTTCCATTTCAGAAATTACCTGCGTCAGAGTCATCCCCTTTTTCATAAGAGCACTTGCTGTAGCAGCAGTTGGCGACATCCCTTCAACTGCCTCTTTGCTAAGAGCAGGGGCTTGAAAGAGAGATTACAGATGACAATAAAATGAATAACACGGCTCTAAGTTTAAAGAAAAAAACAGGACGGAGAAGGCAAATCAATCAATGTTTAAAGGCTCTCGGAATAATTGTATCTTTGCCCATTAAACCCTTCAAAATGTTGGCCTTGACAGGGGATATAAAATGATTAAGATCTTCTTATTTTTTAAAAATGAATTCAAATATATAATTAATGGAAGCAAACTTATGAATTTGACAAAATCTAACAAAATTAAAAATTCGACACATTACAAACACTTTCAAAATACTCACTCTTCTTTCGTGCAACCTCGAGTAGCTCATTTGCGTTTTCCAGCTCAGTATCTAGCGTTTTCAATCTCTCCTCTTCAAGAAAAATCATGAGACCAAATCAGAAAGACAACTACTGTGCAGCCTTTCATATGATTACAAAACAGGAAAAACTACACTTCAGAAAAGATGTTTGAGAAACAGCAGTTTCCACGATTCAGCAAATGACAAGCTCAAAGACCAAACGGAGGTTTCTCTGAAAAAACTATACTTAACACCAGTCTATATTCCAGAAAAAATGAATGTCAAAAATAGAAAGTGATATGGGTCTAATAAAATTATTTGCAAACTTTAGATTTTGTCATTACTTCAAACAATAATCTCAAATTAAAAATTTGGCAATTGCCAGCAAATCAACAGCGAATGCAATGCAACAGCATTCTTGAGATCTGGATTTCTTTTCTCAATTGGACAATTCGTTTGTGCCCCAAAACGAGCCCCCTAAACCCCCTATTTTAAACGAAATATTCAATGTGATGTAAATACTATGTTTTCACGTCCCATTGAAAGAATATGCTCTCTCGGCTTCAGTAGAGTGCAGAGTATTGTAAAAATGAATGCCATGTCAATAGCGTGTTTCCATACAGCTAGTCTTTTATTTAGAGCTTGTAATTTTCTCAATTTGAGCATGTTAAGAAAACTCGTTTTGAACATTCAAAGAAAAGGGCAATCAGAAGAACTGAAATGAGATTTAAGGTCAAGCTTACGTTCGAGATAAGCAAATATAAATTAGTAAATATTTTTTCAGACGAAACGCAACACATCTTTTTTGTACGGAAATTTTAAGCAACAAACCGAGCTCGTTCAGTTTTTCCTTGTGCTTTTCTTCTTCCAAGGCTAGTTTGGCCTCCAAGGCAGATTTTTCTACGAAATTAAAATACGTTGAAAAGGAATTGAATACTCTAAGGAGACAATGTAAATGCCGAAAAGCAAAGCTGGTTCAACTGAACAAAATTATTCCGATATATCCATATTTAGCTACGTTCTTATGCAGCTATCTCCTTAAACCCATCGCTGACCCCTCACACGTACATCTCTTTTTATATAAAGCTGTCACATTAAAGCCACGATTATTCAATAATTCGCTTATAATATAATTTCCTCGTACAACCACCTGCTTCAACGGTCTGCAATACAAAGCTTTGGAAGTATCTTCTTATACAACTATTTCTCTTTACAGGATGACTTCCCGAACCTGATACAGCTTTTTCCTTATAAAGTTGTCTTTTATACTGGTGTCTTTTTAAAAAGCTTTCTCCTTATGAGCTTTTTCAAACCCATCTAATAAAGTGATTGAAAATATCTAACATAACTAAAACATCATGAACGTATATTTGCTGCCTGGTTGGGTCCCATTCCGGTAATGGCCATTACCTTCATCGGTTTCTTTGAGAATCTTCTGGATTTCAAGCAGAGCAAATGTCATTTCGCTGATTTGTTTCTGGCTGTCTTCAGACGATTCCTGCAAAAGAGACACCCCTTTTGCAACCAGCAGTAGAACCTTCTGTTTCCTAGTAACAGTCTACCCTCTCTCTAGCTATCCACAAAGATGGGTTCATTTCATTCATTTTCTTATCATAGCAAAGCAAAAAAAAGCAAATAAACAGAGGTAGTATATTCCAAATATTGAAACTGCCTCAAATAACAATGTCCGCACGTTGAATAATTGAAAATTTAGGGTGCACTGTTTTTTATATTACAGCCAGTCAATTCATTATGAAACTGGCTCAACGCTTAAAGACAAAAGAGAACAAGTTCTAAAAAAATACTAAAAACATGGACTGAAAAATTTAAAAAATTACTGCAAACAGGTTATAAATCTTTTTGACTTTAAAATATAATTAGTTTAAAGCATAAAATGCACTAAGTAGCCCATTGGAGTCATCTAATCTAAAAGATTTATTCATGAAACCCTCGGCGCTATTAGAGTGAAAACATAAACAAACCAGTTAAACGTAATATTTTAAATAACAATCTGAGCAGTGTTTTACCTTATAAAGCTCCACCAGTTTGTTTTTTGCATTAAGCTCTTGTGTCATAGTACTATCAGTGTCTGCAAGCTCCCCCCTGGCCTAAAAATAATAGCACTCAACATTTATCTATATTGCACGGCTTTTTACAGACGACAAAACAGTTAAACTACTAAAAACAAATGTTGCGAACTACAATTTTAATTCCTTAAAGAATAGCCACAACACCGTGTGGCTGAAACCAGAATTTAGCTGATGAGAAAGTCTTTGTTTAAGCTGATGAGAAAAGCTGCTGATTTGAGGCTGCTAACTTGAAATAACAACATAATCTGAGAAAGTATGAAAACGATAATTGCATTGGGTCACAAATTTCTTTCTTGTAAAACACAGTGGTCCTGAAGCGACTTTCTCCTTCTTGGTGAAAAATCTAAAAATACTCTGCTCTAAAATTCTCTAGAGTAAAATACTCAACAAAATTCATGTATTTATTTAAGTATAACACTTGAAATTTATTATATGAAGTATTTGTTTGTTTGTTTGTTTGTTTGTAACTTTATTTCAATTCGATTTTGCTTCTAGCTATACATATATATGCATATATACACATACAACTAATGTAATTCGAATCTACTATATAACAAATGAAAAGGAAATAACTAAGGAAATAATACGTAGATACATAAGCTAAATATTGGATATGAATGGATAAAATTTACAGGATATCGATATCATTGTATTTGCAAACGTTGCATTCACAGCTAGGACCATCCTATCGTTTTATCATATGTTTGAAGCTGTTAAGATTATCAGCTGATTTTTTCTGGGAGATCTGGGATACACTATCAAAACAACCCAACCAAGTAAATAATAGTAAAAACCGGGGGGAAGTTTATTCTTGTAAAAAGAGAAAGAGATTTCCAAGAAAACATAAGGATTTCCAGGGATTTTCAGATAAAACAATAGCATTTCCATCAAAGGTGTACGAAATTTTCATGTAATGGTTTGTTTCTCGCAAAAACCCACACGAAAAAGTTAAAATATCCCAAATGCACACGGAAAGATTTAAAACTTGTTGACGTCAATGATACATGGTAACCTACTCTTTTTAGCTTCTCCATCAATGTTTCCATCTTACTTTCCTGCTCCTCGAGTTTTGCTTTATAGCTTTCACAACTTTTTGTTACGCTCTCCAGCTGCAAAATGAAAGAAAAACAACTCTACAGAAATAGCAAATATTTCTTGTCCTTGATAGGAGCAATGTACCATATGCCCCAATATACTGCTAGTTCTGCTTTTGACTTTACATGTCAAGTTACGTCATACTCATAAAATTTCTTCCATCACAAGTATTCGAAAATATAGAAACCTAAATTCCTTGCTTTGAGCTCGCATTGGCAAAATCTCTTCATGTAGAATTTGATAATATAGTGAATTAATGAAATACAGGAAAACTCTCTAACAAATTTATGGAGAACTTTTTCTTATGTTGCGATACTTATTGCTTTTTGCATTAACCTTTCAAGCTAAATTTCCGTGAATTGAAAAGAAAATAATAACTAAAAGTTCTAAATGGGGGGTAATAAAGAAGCACAAATAATCCGCTCGAATAAGAGGGCAAATTCAAATTGTCGAATCGCCCGACTTTGACTGTCAACGAAGAAAATTACCACTCCAACTTTTAAAATACGTGAACCTTTTTGGATATATTCTATTCTCTTGAAACATCGATAAAATTGATTGTCTGTTTGTCATATGTAATCATTCAAGTAAAAATGGCAACAACCTCCTCCCTAAATTGACTTATATCGTCTTCATAGCTATCTATTGCACGCCTTTTTCAGCTCCCAGAAGGAAAATAAACACGAGAAACAGCTCAACATTTAAATCAGTTTCCAAAATAATTTAAATGCCAAAAAATTACCTGATTTTTCTGACTGTCAGCAAGATTTTGCAGATCAAGTACCTCAGAAGTCTAGCAAAAAATAAAAGAGCAAGTTTTAATAAAACATGAAAACGAGATAAATCAAAATGTTAATCGCAAATATTCAAGACAACAAAACACTTCAGAAAACTGATATGCAAAACGAATATCGTAAGCGATCCGTTCTACAATTTGTGTTTCCGGGAACCCTTTTTCCCTTAAACAGGCAAAACTTTCTTATCTTAGATGCTGAAAAAATATTTCAACCTTTAATCTATCCTGCTTCCGCCTTTAGGGGCCCATTTCTAACAAGACTATCTTTCAAAATTTAATAGAGTTACGAAAAAGGTAACCTAAATTCCTACATTAGCTATCTAGTCTTAACGTATCTTTCAAAGAGTCCTCTGGGTCATTGATAAAATTGATCAATTTGAAATTTCTACTTACCTTGTTTCTTTTGAGGGTTGAAAGCTCCTCTGTTTTTCCATTCAGCTGCGTCGTGAGGTGGGCATTTTGGCTGCTAAGAAGGTCCTTTTCTTGCTCTAATCGTTTCAGCTTGAACTAGATTGAAAAAGGAAATTTTAATACCGTGCCTAGAGCAAAAGCACCGCCTTCAAGACAGATTATAGGCAATACGGTAATGGTGGCTACAGTAGAGGAACGAAATGCTACATTCATATTTTAAAACGAGAATCAAGGACGATTTCTAAGCAGCCAAAAACCAGCAATTCGATATATTCCCCCAAATTGAGGTGAACTGTCGAAAATAATTCGTTCCATAATTTTCAAGTTTATAGCTATCAAGTTTAAGTAACAAACAAGCTGCCAAAACTTGCAGCATCACTCATTTTCGTTTCATTTTTTACAGTTTTACAGTTTTATTATTAAGATAAAAGAAACATTCGCTATCTACATCCTGTAAAACTTTAAGCACGTATGAACTGTTAAATAATACGATTTGATAAAAAGCTGCTAGGTGATGAAAAAAGGGCTGGCTGATGCATCCAACTATTTGCAATTAAATATGCAATAAAACTGTCTGGTTCGTTTTTAGATTCTCAATAAATGAAATTCTTTCTTCATTATCAAACCACCTTTTTAGAGTCACCAATATTTGGGACACTTTTTTGCGCACACATACACAAAACAAACCCTTTTTAAAACCCGTTAAATGGAAATGAAACTGTAAAACTCACTTACAAATTAGGCACAAGTGGAGAAACTTTGGCGGACTTGCACCCTCAAAAGATTAATAACTAAAAGTTTGTAGTTTCCTGCTAGTTGGAACAGGGTTAGCGGCATGTTTAAATAAGTTTGAAATACACGTCTTACTTTCAAAATAAAACTTTTGTTTGCGTATGTTGAATCACTGAATCTTTAACAGAGAAAGAATAAGAGTGGGCAAAACCTACCTCTCGTGTAATGTCACCACTTTGGAATTCATCTAATTTGGCCTACAGTAAAATAAATGAAGGCAATTGAAAAATCTTTGATGGAATTTAGGCAGTCTAGAGAGTAATTTTATTGGCATTGATGGAATTTAGGCAGTCTAGAGAGTAATTTTATTGGCAATGCCATTAGAGCTTTACTCCTCCAATAAAACGTGTTTTCAAGTGTTTGGCATTGGCTATTATTGCATTTCCTTAAGAAATATCTTATAAACCAAAGGTCTTGTTATTATTTATTAATATCACAACAATAGCATGATAAAAGTACTTGGCTGGTCAGGACCAAAACTGCAAAAGTCAAAGCATCGAAAAATACAAACAAATTTCATGAAAGTCTTATTCAAACCAAAGATCAGTGCACAGCGATAGCCTGTTCTGCTTTTATGCAGTAAATATTTTTAATTACCTGAGCCTCATAATTTGCTTTGGTTGCTTCAGAAAGTTTTTGAGACATTGATTTCCATTCATCTAAGGAAAAATTGACATTACATTAACTCAAAAATATCATAATAAATCATAATTTGCGACTGAGCTAGGTGACCTGTAGGTATCATTTACTAACAAATGCTTCTTCCTTGAAAATCTCATCAAATCTTAAATGTGATGATTTGCAATGTTCCAACAGGAAATCCATTGCATTCAGCACACAGCTTCTATCTGCTGGAGTCCGTAGACATCTCACTTGGTCAGATATTCATCAGCCATTTATTGGGTTGATTAAGCTTAGAAGGGTTTGACAGCTATACATCCAATCAAGTTCTGAAAATCATGAACTTTTTATTTAAACATTTATCAATAATGCATATTGTAGAAAATTTTGCAATATTTACTGTCAAGCCTCTCGATCTCTTTGCTTTTCTTCTCCAGAACTTCAAGAAGTGTTGCCTTCTCATCTTCAAGTTGCTTTTTTTCATTGTTTGAAAAATTCTTAAAAAAGTATAAACCAATATTGTTAGGGCTTAGCAAAATTAATCCATTTCTAAATATTGGAAAACATCAAGGTTTTCAAATGATGCTTCATTGCACTACAAATAATCATCATTGCATAACATAGTCCTAAGCAGTATGCTATGATAAAATCTTAAAGACCTTGATATACTGTCTGATTTTTTCTTAAGAAACTTTAAGAAATAAAAAATCTTCATTTTTATGTTAGCAAAAGTGCAAGTGTCAAACATAGCACATAAAATCTATACCATCTTTGGAATATATTTATATATACATCAAAAAATTTTATGGTGCAACATGTTCTCAATAACAAAAATGTTTTCCCAGTTACAGAGCTGTTCGACCTGCTTATCTTGGTGAGTCCTTGCCAATCAAACATGTTTTTCCAAATAAACTTTATCATCTTTGTTGGAGTGCTTGATTTTATAAATGTTAATGTTTACTTTGTCAATTTCATAGCTTTTTACAGGTCTGGTTGGTTCATTCACCCCTACATTTTTGGATACCTATTTAACCTGGATGTCTCTATTATTTGTGTTGTTTTAGGCATGGTACAATGTAGACTTTCAAAGTAAACCTCAAGGAAAGGCATGCCTCACATAATGTTTCAAAAAACATCTGGCTGATTGGTGTTCATCCCACAATTCTCTCCTTTTCAACCTTTATGTTACAAATTACAAATAGCTGCACTACACATTTTAGTCACTGCTACCAAAACAAAAAACAATAAAAAATCTAGAAATTAGAACTACAATGCACATTGAAAACGAATGTAAAAACAAAGATGGTTCATTCAAAAAATTAATTTAAAAAAAACATCAAAGACAAGCAAACAACTGCCAGCACTATAAAGGATTTCAAAGTGGCTAAAGTATATGGAATATATTCTTAGAAGGATTGAAGGAGTAAAGTGTTAAACAAGTATTTACTAGTAGAAGTAAATTATCACAACCCTTTTCAGTTGAGAAGATCTTATTCTACCAGGATTAAGAAGAAAACATATACCACATTCCTTTCTTGGACATCGATTTTAAAAGATGGGCTTCTCGAGAACAAGCTTTGCAAATTACTCATTTTGTCTCATTTTGTCCCACTGGGAACTCTCAACTCAGTTGCTTTCTAGCTAGCAAAAACAATTATGAACTGCTGTACTTACATATTTGGAAATAGCATCTGTTTTTTCATCATCCAATTTTCTTACTTGCTCGTGTTTATGTGTCAATTTTTCATCTGGTATAAAAGCGGGCAAAATCTGGATTAATGCAAAGTAACCAAATTTGTGTAGGGCCAATAAAAATATTTCTATGAACTCAAAAGTGAAACTTCATAGGAACTACTTTTACATAATCCATATTAATTTATTTCAGAAAGATCTACAATTTAAAATTGTAACAATTTTCAGTTTAGCAGCAATGTTAGTTTCAAGCTGCATTGTTATGAAGAAGATTCAAATTCAGCAATATATTTACAATTTATTGAATACAAGTTAACTAAAGATTAATAGAACATACATAGTTAAAGATAAATCCATACAATATGATTTATCTGATACAATTTTTAATAAGTTGCCCAGAACACTGAGAGAACCAAAAAGGTTTTCCAGCCCAGTGCCCTGATTCAGTTGTGTTTGTTGAATAAGCGATTAAAACATAACATACCAGCTTCTTCAACTCTTGCTCTTAACTTGGATAATTCTTCAGCATCTTTACCTAGCTTTTTATTCAAGGAAATGACTTGCTTTTCCAACTGACAAACTTGGTGTTCTGAAAAGAAAACTAATTATCAACAAAGTTTATGGTGCAATGAAGCCAAACAGTTTACCAGTTGAACATCTAAGCTCTATTGAGCCCCTTGTAGTACGGTTAATACTTCACTGATCACACTATTGTTGTACTTGCACATGTAAACTGTAAATACTTTAAAAAGCTTGTTATTTTTATTAGGGGAGAGTTGTTTGATTATAATATTTAAATGGTGTTGGTTTTATGACATAATGATAATGACAAAATCGATTTTTCTCTTAGTGTGGAACTAAATTAAACTTTAAGCTCTACCTTTCGAAGGGTTACCAATAGGTTGGTTTTTTGGTAAAATTTGAAAAAAATTCTAACGAAGCTAACTTTCTCAACATATTGAGAACACAACAAAGAACTGAAATAGAAGTATCATTTGTGTTATTACGGGGTGTTTTCTAATAATAAGAACACACTCGCGCAGGAAATAAAACAGTTCACTTAATTTAGGCTATGGTAGCCTTGAAATTTTGAATGCATTTAAGTTCCTTAAATATACATATTCGAAGAAAATACATTACCAGCATTCAGCCTATCTTTCCTCCCCTTTTGAAAAATCTCCTTCACCTTCAGACTCGTGTCTAGCACCGACTTCAGTTCGCTTTCGAATGATTCTTGATCAAAAGAAGAACTGTTTTCTCCCGTATATTTACGAAAGAGATCAGAAACTTTTTGTTCAAAAACTTCCATCTTTGAAAAAGAAAAAACTTTGAGTCATTGAAATATGGATGCCATCAGCCTGAAGAGAAATTCCGCGCCATTGACCACCTTCGCACGATTCTTTCCTTTTTGCCTCGTGTTCAATGTAACAGCAACAGCAACAATACGATTTTTGATTTTACAGCAGCAACAAGGAACTGAAAAAAATAACTAATCAATTTGTTAATTACAAATCTTATTTCCACTTTTAACAGCTCTGTTAAGGGGGGTCAGCTTTCAGCAGCCTTTTGGGGGCGTTCAAGCTTCAAGGCGAGTTATAGGAATTATAAATTTTTTTTGTCCTTAAACCTATTTTTATTCCATGACACTCGGAAAGCATCTCAATTATTTCTCCATATTTAAAGCCCTGGTTGAAAAAATATTTGATAATTTCTTTCTCATCTACATCAGAAATATCTATACTTTGTTAATCTAGCAACAAATCTATCTTTATCAATATGAAAAGATCATTTCCCGCCGTTTGAGCATTACCTTGCGCATGCGTCAATTATCATTTCCGCCGTGAGTTGACTTTCTCTTGCCGTGAGTTAAATTACTCATGCCGTGAATTGACTTTGTTTTGCCGTGGTTGACTTTATTTTGCCGTGGTTGACTATGTTTTGCCGTGGTTGGCTATGTTTTGCCGTGGTTGACTATGTTTTGCCGTGGATTTGTTTGATACCTAGGGATGCTTAGTCGGCAAATGACAGATGGCTCACCCATTTTGTCGGCAAATTAGGCAACCCCCTTAAGCACAACAGCTAATAACGACGAGCCTGCTTACATTTATTGTGTACCAGAATACTGAATTATGTACAAACAGGCAACTCAATTAAATATTGCCAAAAGATAGGTGTAGGAGACAAAGAAGCTAGGAGGCTGCCCCCCGTCCCAGTCACCCCCGTCCCAGTCACCCCCGTCCCCGTCTGACAAAAGTTAATGAATTTCAGGCCCTTCCGGGAAATTTCATCTGAATAAAGCAAGGTCATCCGGGCAACGTCTAGTCTCCAATACGCCCATGAATAAAAAGGACAACTGAGTATTAGAAATTATTTGAAAGAATAGAATGGACAAGAACACAAAGTACATAAACTTTGCTAGAATAATGCAGTGACAAAAAATATGCAAATTGGCCAATTTTTGCAAAAAAATACTGTTATTGTCTTCAACATTAAACTTTACCATAACAACTTTCTCAAAATAAAAAGTTCAATATTACATAAAAAACACGGTACTTAAACTAACATGGAAAAATTTTCAACAAATTCAAAGTACGTAAATGAAAACAGAAGGTTTTAAAATTTGGACATTGAAAAAGGATTAGAAAGTACCCAGGTACAAATGGTTTCCAAATATAGAGTATCGTGTCGAGCCATTGAACATGTTCAAACTTTGCTGAACATTGCTGAACATTGCTGGACATCGCTGGACATCGCTGAATATTACCGAGCATCACTGAACATTTAAAGCGTTCAACGGAGGTTGAAGCCAAAAAAGCCCTGGGTCTTTGTAAATAAAACGATCAGACCCGCGAGATTTGCCAAAATCCGTCACAAGACCATGTCAAAGGCAATTTTTGTTTTCGTACATTGCTTCAAGCAAGCGAATCTTTTTGTCTTGCTCAAATTCAAGCACATTATAACTTTAGCCAAACAAACATTAAACACTAAAACCTTCCGAAATGATACAGGATTGTGGTTAATTGAACGTCTGAAGTTGGCAGTTAGCTGGAAATGCAGAGGAAGGTCGAAACAACGATGGATCGCGTAATATTCTGTGAGTAGAATATAGTCAAGATACAGTAAGATGTCCAGCATTACCGTTCACCTATCTATCTTCAGCATAACTTTCTAATCTTGCTTGTTTAATTTTTCAATGATGTCTATGCTTTGGTTTAAATTTGTGACTTTCTGAACAAAGATAAAACCGACTTTCTAAGGTCTTTTCGAACGGCTAACAAGAGGATTGGGTTCCAAGCTGAGTTTGCAAGTGTGAAAGCAGTGCCAAATAAGTGTAAAGAGTCGTCAAGCTCAATGCCTATCAAATACAACAATCGTGTTACAAGGTAAGGCATCCAAGCAAAGAGAACACCAATTGCAACTGCCAGGGTAGCGAATGCTATGCGTGTCTCTTCCCGGAAATTCCCCTTATCAAATCGTTTAGTGACGTTCTTGCGATTTGCTCTGTCTCTCTCCGCGTTTGTTTTCAATCTAACGATATCTACACTGTCGCTGGTGTGGCTTTCAGCCATAGCTTCCTTTGTTGTTTGGTTCAGTGCTGAAGGAGTTAGCGCCTTTATAGAATGCAACTGTTTGCGTGCGACATTAAACACGGCAATACACGAGAAAACGATGCAGATGAAAGGTAACAAAATATTCATGGGCACAAGTACCATGTAAATTTGCTGGGCTTCCCAGGTTGAGACAAACCCACATGGAAAGCCAGTGTAGTTGGTAATGCTGACAACTGGCAGCACCAAGACAGGGATGGATGTTACGAAGGAGTGTATCCATGGTAACAACAACATTATATAACATAAAGTTGCCATTTTACTACTTGCATAAAAAAACGGTTTTGTGATCGCTAGATAGCGCTCAATACAAACAGCTGTCAGACTCAGCGTTGATACAAATGCTAATGCATATACGAAGTACTGGGTCACTCTGCAGTAGGTTGTTGATAAGTAGCTGCTGTAGATCGCCGGATGCAGGTGGACCAGATGATATGTGATGCTGTATGCACATGTAAACATATCGGACAGACAAAGTGAAACAAGAAACAAGTTGGCATGTTTGATGCGAAAGCTCTTCTTTGACATGATTCTTATTAGAATGACAAAATTCAAAACACAGCCTATGATTATCGTCAAGCCATAGAACACCGACAGAGAAACATAGCTGATGGTATCCATCTTGTTCTCCTGATTGTCGCAGATTTCTTTAGTTTTGTAAAACGTCCTAGCCTCTGTCCATTTCCCTTTTAAACAGGATTGCCAGCTGTTGCCAGATGGTGAAACCTAGGAAAAATATAATAGATATGTTCGCATGTTAAGAATACATTCATAAATTTCAGGATGTATGACATCTCAATGAAAAAATTAAAATAAATAGATTTTATTCCATAAGGTTCCACGGGAAAAAATTAGATAAATGTATGATGAAATGTGGCTGAAAGTATTGCATGAAATTACTTTAGACCCGGTTTACTCTACAGAAAAAAAGAACGGAACTCCTTGGTTCCGTGCCAGAAAACGGGGCGATAGGTATACAGGTATCTCGGTTCCGTGATATTTTGGGAAAGGTTCCGTACTTCTTTGGTTTTGCTAAAAAGCGACAATCTTTCGGTCCGTTCCCAATAATGCTTATTTTTTCTATTCTAAACGGTCAGGAATGGACCGTTTTGGTAACGTCGCTGCGCTACTGCGCATGCTTCACATGAAGATTCCGTTCTTTTTACTCCAGTGTAAATGGGATCAAATTTGGCTCCCTTTTTTTGCTACAGTGTAAATGCGATGAGAAAAGATGTATCGTGTTCAAACAGTGTAAATGGGGTCTAAGAGTAACTGGATATATTCCATTGTACCTTAAAAACTTTTCTCTTTCTGAAATTGTTGGAACTTTTGCTCTATTTAATTTGTTCTATTGCTTCTTTTATTTGGGTTGTTGTTCCCGTGTGCAAGAGATAATCGCAAAATGTGAGGGACTTGATATTCACCGTGTCCGTTTCTTGCCTCTCAAAGACAACTGGGATAGATTTGATCTTGTTGCCCAAATGTTATAACTTGTTTTGAATATTATACACGTATAAGAGATGCTTTGAATATTATTCATGATTGAACTAAAAATGGCAGTAAATAGCATGAAAAATGGGAAAGCTTGCGGTCTGGACGAAATACCAACAGAAGTATGGAAACTAGATGAATTTCATCGTATCTTATTGGAGCTATGTAATGGAGTTTATAAAGAAGATCCTATACATAGCTGGAGAGATGAGTGCTTGCTCCTTTTTCCCAAAAAAGGCAACCTTGGGTTGACTAAGAATTACCGGGGCATCACATTAACAGCAATAGCAGCAAAAATCTATTATATAATGCTGCTAAACAGAATTAGTAGTTTATAAGGAACACCGCAACGCGACGAGAACAAACAAACAACAAGCACACAAGTCAGTGATGGCTAATATTTCGCCCCGGCATACGGGGTTTCATCAGAGCAAAAGAATTAGACCTGAAATCGACCCAATACTGAGGAAAAACCAAAACGGTTTTCGTACTAACAGATCAACATCAGGGCAAAAACTTAATATTCGATGTATTTTAGAAGGCATAAAGTCCAAAACCTCCCAGCAACTCTCCTATTTATTGACTTCTCCAAGGCATTTGATTCCATATATCGAGGGAAGATGAAAGATATTTTATTAGCCTATGGAACACCAAAAGAAACAGTAAATGCTATCATGATATCATGATGCTATATCATAACACTCGCTCATTGGTCCGTTCACCAGATGGAGATACAGACTTCTTCAATATCACAGCAGGAGTACTCCAAGGCGACACACTCGCACCTTTCATATTTATAATTTGCCTAGATAACGTCTTGAAAAAATGTCTTGACAAGAATTTAGATCTTGGATTCACCCTGACCAAACAAAAAGCAGACAAAATCCAGCTAAGAAATTACAGATGCTGATTATGCTGACGATCTAGCATTATTGGCCGCCTACTTTAAAAATGCACCTTCACTCCTCCACATTGTTGAAACATCTGCGGGAGAAATAGGACTATACGTCAATGCAGACAAGACCAAATTCGTCTGTCAAAACAATATAGTTCAGATGGCATGAATTTACAGGGGCGGATCCAGGATTTTTGATGACTGTAGCTCAAATCTTTTGGGATCGGTACCACGCCCTCCTTGCTTGCGGGACACGCCATGTGTGTTTATAGTTGCTTCGTATTCATAAATATTCCTTCGAACATCCTTTTTCTATTTCCAGGGACGCCAGAGAAGGGGGTGTGGGGGTACAACCACCCCTGTTGCCCTTTGACAGAAGGGGCAAGGGTTGTTTTTAATAAAGTTCCCTTGAAACTGGCCAATTTTGATAATCATAGAAATTCATATAAAATTCTGAACTTCTCAAAATATGTAAGATAATTCCTTATGCCGAAAGTTAGCCAATGTTGAAGATACCTACAGAAGATCGAAATAAAATTGCAGTTACGTATGAATTTGTAGAAGCTGAGAATTATCTTTCAAAAGCCCTTTTACTCAAGCCTGCCCCCCCCCCTCTTGCCACTTGGTCGTTCCGCCGTTCCTGTCTATTCCCTAGTTGGTCCCTGCCTTTGACACTACATTACAGGGGACCCAGGATGTGAAAACGAGCTATAGTCCACGGTTGCTTTACAGGGGACAGAGAGCGGAGAAGTAACGTGGATACTCATATTCTATTGGTTAAAAGGCCATCTTCAAACCTGACTATAGCTTCACTATAGCTCGCACCAAAAATTATAGTACGGGTTTCATTGTCTTCGATGCCTCTTCCAGAGCAAATCCCCAGACCGACTATAGCTCGGAATATCCACTGTAGCTCAATTCTGGTTGGTTACTGTCAACAAAGAACGAAACTTCTGATTCGTCTAAGTTTTAATATTAGACCATTCTGCGCTCAGTGTTTTATATCTTATCTGGAGAGGCATTGTGATGACACATTGCCAGCATTGCATGTTTGTTAATCGCATTTGATAACCTATACCGCTGCTTTCAAATGTTGATAGTAAACACTTGTGGGCATAAACACATTTTTAGGGGCTGCAAGGAAACTTTGTATTTTGAAAATCAAACACTGAGAATTTGACTATAGCTCGAGCTACAGTTGCTATAGTCTGGATCCGCTCCTGTGAAAAGCCTAATAGTGTAGTCGAATTACGATTTTACCCGGACAAAAATAATATAAAACTGAAATTTGGCACTATGGTGGAAGTAACAAAAAAAGACAATTTTTGAAGACAATTTCATCATGACTATGATTTCATGCTGAACAAATTTTATTGAACATACATACCCTTGGAATGTGCAAATAAGTGATGATTAAGCAAAAACAAAGCGGGACGAGTGAATATTGAAAAGCGCGCGAAAAAATTGCTAATCCTCTTGCTGAATATTTCCATTTCAATTCGCAACTTCTATCGATGCAAAATATTTTAGTGTGCGAATGAGATGAAGTATGATAATATTCTTGTTTTGGAATTATTGAAGTTCCATCCGTAACAATTTCAATATCCACCACATTGCTAAATAAAAGGAAGGTTTGGATCATAAATTTTTTCAAAAAATTTGTGGCTCCTGTAACTGTAGGAGTCCTGGGCACAGAGCGAAGAGTGCCCTGTGACTGATGAGGCACCAGTGGTGTAGTGGAGGGGTATCACGGAATAACGCCGTTATCCTTCCTAAAACCTTGGCCTGCAGCGCTAAACTATCTAGTAAAAAGAGATAGCTTCCAAAGTAAGTATAACCCCAAAGATTGCAAATGCTTTTTCAATTGAGAAGCGCGCACATGAAAAAGAGGATGTTTCGAGAATATCAGGACCCAAAACCTGGAATATAGTTTAAAGAAACGGAAAACCCGGATTTGGAATTTGGAAAATTTTGAGATATAATATATATGTTCCAGACCAATATGACTCTCCAGACAATAAAAGTTTCAATAAGACAATCTTTTGAAACTTTTAGCTTATCATATCACATTATTTTACATTGGATTGCTCCTTGCCGTTTGGCGTTGTTCCTGCCTTCTGTTGATTGACACAATTTCAATGTATTTTTGCAGTGCGCACAGGCCATGACAGAAGCTGAACAAATTCCAATAAAATGAAGAGACCACGGCAGCATAGCTGCTTCACGGACGACAAACAAATACATACTTTCAGCAAGTAGATTTAGACCCTGTTTACACTGTGCCGGATAAATTTTATCCGCATCAAAATTAGTTCAGATAGGGCTCCCGTTTACACTAGACCCACGCTATCCACACAAATTTGAGAGCGGCTATCCGGACAAAATTTGTTCACTTAGGAAAGTGGATTAAATTAGTTCAGATAGCTATGTGGTACAGTGTAAACGGTTTTATCCGGATAAATTTTATCCACATCCGCTGCGAGGCTGATTTTGATTTACAGCGAGGCTCTTTCAATAAAGAGAAAGAAGGTGACACGAGGTGGCGCCAAATCTCATTTCTCGTAAACAGAATCGTGTTGCTTTGTTTAATTTATCTGGACTTTCAGAATTGGGATATTCATCACGATAAACTCCAGAATCAGCTTTCGGATATCTTGCTTGAAAACGAGTGGCTATTTCATTATATTTTGTTTTCACCGTCTCCCAATCAAGACCTTTTGCCACCTTTGCTGCCTTATAGTCGATAACTACATGTATCAAAAGTGCTGTCTCTTCTTGAGTCCACGTGAAATTGGCGTCATTTCTGTGACGTGTTATTTCAAACAAAGAATTATTTAAACTATATTGGCCTAATGTGCTTTGACAATTTTCTCGGACATTGTCTGAACGCGAATGATTCATGTCACGTGACTGTAGTTATCGGGCACAGTGTAAACGGGAGGGCAAAGTGGACACAATTTGTGCGGCACAGTGTAAACGCAAATCAATCCGAACAAATTTTATGCGGATAAAATTTATCCGGCACAGTGTTAAACGGGGTCTTAAAGAATAAAACGAGGAACTCAACAATGCGCAAAGATAGAAGGCAAAATGGCAACTATAATGCCTATTAAAAATTTATTTTTGTTATCAAAAATTGTAAGGCCTTTCAAACAAATGTTCAATTGATCTTATGGCACTATCAAAAGCGATTCAAACTGCAACAAAGAACACCATTGGATTGAGTTTTTTTGACACCTCACTTTCTTCGTTTTACTATACAAAGGAAACCCAATGGTCTCAAAGGAAATGATCGACAAAAAGGTGCTCCCTTAGAGGCAATTAAAGCAGAGGAATAACAAACGAAGCAGCTGCTTAAAAAATTCAAATTATCCGGATAAATCTGAAATAAGCAAAATTTTTGGCTTAGTCCAAAACAGATTTTGAAAGTCAAACAAGCCTATACACATTTAGATTAGTGGAATTTTGATTTGAAAAATTCAAACCAGCAACGGTAGGCCTGCCAGAAACTAAAAAAGCGCCTTCGGTGCGTTTGTAGGGTGGGGGAGGGTGGTGCCGGGGGCATTAAATGGAATGAGTGTGATCTGGAAATCCAGCCTACCAGAATACCAGATGATCTAAAGAGCAGCTTTTCAGAGCAACAGCGGAATCTGTCCTTGTGTATGGTTCTATCACTTGGACTTTAAGATCAAAACTAGAGAAAAAGTTAGATGGTCCATACACAAGGATGTTGCGAGTAGCACTCAATAAATCTTGGAAAGATCATCTGACTAACGCAGAATTATATAGTAAAATCCCTCGTATCAGTATTTCAATTAAACAACAACGAATGAGATTTGCTGGACACTGTTGGCTTAGTGAAGAAGAGCTTGCTGAAGATGTTTTGCTTTGGACTCCAATGCATGGAAGACAAACACAAAGACGCCCTTAGAAAACATTTACAGACCAACAATGGATGATACAGGATGTTTGAAAGATGAAGTTCCAAACGAAATGAATGATAGAGATGGATGGAGGGAGCGGGTCAAGAAACGCCGAGATGGCTCGATGGAGATGATGAGCGGGTCAAGAAACGCCGAGATTGCTCGATCTGATGATGATGATGATGATGACGATGATGATGATGATGATAAACTGACATTCAATTAACACTTAAAGGAAACAAAAAAGCTGGTCAATAAATCAAATGGTCCACGAAAATCATCAGTTTAGGCATAACAAAATTATATTTTTCTTAAGATGATTCAGTCAGAGTTATAAACGAAGCACTTGTCTGTATATTCTCAGACACTCTGTACATGACAAGCTCAAGATCCATGCAGCAGAAACCTCGCCATCATAAAAAAGGTTAAGAACAAGAGAAGGATGATTTACTTACGACTTAGTCTGAAATTTTCTCGGCTTGATCATCAACATATTCGAATACATGCAGCACACGTTGTCTTGAAGTGATCAGATCATGATCAGTTGAATTGAATGATGGCAATTCTTAATCATTGACAAACGCCTTAAAGCAAAACTATTGTTATAACATAAAGCCGTGCAATAGAAGTTATCAAGGCAGGGTTAATCGTCTTTAATCGGCATAACCATGACCATTCGAGATTCTCCGTCTATTGAAATCCAACAATTTGTTTTTTTATGAACAAGTGTGAAGCAGATTTATGTGAGAATAGAAACCAAATGCTAAATAAAAAGATCACTGCGAAGGCGCATTACCGGCTGGTATAAAAACAATATGTGATTGTCTTTCTGTTGCCAATATGTGTGTGTTTTGTTCCCGCGTTGTGAAGGTGACTTAGCAAAATTTAGGGACAGACTGAACAAGCAGACACAACATATTAAAGAACTGACCACTGGGTTCTCATCAGCAATTTCCAAATTATTATGTAAATTATCAGGAGATTTATAGGCAAAACCATTGCCTTCTATATTTCAAAATATGAAGAGACTTACTCAGATGGCATGAATATTTGATTACACTCAGCGGTCTAGCATTACTGAAACACTCGTTATACCCAAATTAAAGCACTCTACTTTCAAAAGCAACCATCAGAAATTAAATACAAATTTCTGAGTCGAGAATCCATAATCCTTCACAACAAAGCAACACAGTTTGCGCGGAAATTGTTTGAAATTAAAAATGGTGGTTATTTGCAAGAAATTAAGAAGTGACCTTTCTGCTTTGGCAGGTGTCTTCACAAATCAACAAATCAACAAAACCGCGTATAGCAGCGATTGCACGCAAATAAATTCATCATTAAGGCGATAATGTTGGTTAAATTTTCGAAACGCAGAAATTAGCTCTAAAGAAAATGAAAACGGCAGAATGGCTAGCAGCAAAACACAGACATTAATTGATTATTGTTGCTGTTGGCAACGCTAACTGGCATTGCGTCCTATGGCAGAAGTTGGAAGATTGCTTATTTGGAAAAGTTCTTCTGAATTGGAGCAAATTTGACGTCACAGTGTGCTTTGTTGGCCCATAGAGTTCTAAAGTGTGACGTCAGAATTTTTGAATTTTAACCACGTAGCATAAAAGATCACCATAAAATAATTCCAGATATGCAAAATTAGTCAAATATGTCCAAAACCAGTTGAGATATTGTCAATGAAAGATTTGAAGTTTGCTAACGAATCACTGTTATTTTCGCTCTGTTCATAAAGTCATGAACAGAGACCAAAATACAGAGGTTCGATTGGAAAAGAGTCAATACACATGTGGCCATATCTCAGCCAATTCGTAACACATTAGACGGATTGTGCATTTTTAGAGGTATTTTGAGATGCTCTTTCAGGCTATGGGATCCAAATTCAAAAATTCTAAAAATAGATTTTTATGACGTCATCACTTTAGAATTCTTTAGCTTTGCAAAAGCGTTATCTTCGAATTAATAAATGTACGGAATGGCAGAAGTTAAAGGAAACGATTCCTAGAAACAAATACTAGCCACACCAGACACACCAGCCTTTATGGCAGATTCGATGCCCGGACGCAAATGCCATGAACCAAGGTATTATAAAGTACTAGGCCGTAAAAATACTAGGTTACCAAAAATTCAATCGTACTAGTTCCTCTCGCTTGTTTCTCGCAACATGTATGTCATACAAAGCATGTAAAACTATTTTTTGGTAGAACTTTTGTCCCCACTTTATATGACCGAAATCTTATTGCAATTTTTGGGGGTCGAAATTTTGCGTTGGTGTCTCTTTAATTAACAGGGTGATCCCGCGTTCCCACAAATCAAAATATATTTTGAGCGTAGTATTGTCGAGAGCGTTTAAGAGCAGATTGCTTCCAGAGTCCAATTGTCAACCTTCCTCCAGACAAAAACATCCCAGAAAGCAAACGTTCCTCACAAAACAATAGAAAGTGGGCGTGGCTTGGGTGTGTCATAAGAGCTTCTATTGTTTTTCGCGGACCTTCATCCGGTCAGTTTCCACTGTGAAGCATCGTGTGGGTTATAGCACTAAGGTCATGCTTCCGTCTGTTCAAAAGGATTGCATTCCTACCAATAAAACGTTTAGCTGCTTATGAATTTTCGTGCCGATTTGAAGCTCGGTATGTAGGACGCACTATTCAGAGATTAAACGGTAGAATAAAACAGCATATTCCCGCGAGCATCAGATGAAAAATGAAAAAATTAGCCAATCATAAAAGTGAGCACATGCAACATAAGGGTACCAAATCAGTGCTGCATGCCTTTAGAGTATTACTATAAGATTCCATGGGTTAAAACGCACTCCTACGGTCTACATATTTCCTTTTTCTAGCATAACATTTTTTTACCTTGTTCTAATATTTTATATCAGAAAGTAGTTAAATGTAAAATTTCTTTATTTCTAAAAATGTTTGCTTTTTTAAAGCCATTTTAAATTTTGTACCGTCAGAAATTGTTAAAAAATTAAACTCAAACAAAATATGAGAGCTGCTCATAGAGCAGTTGTAAATGAAATAGGCCTAGGCAATCTTAAATGGAACTTGGCATGCTTACATTTAAGCAGTGCTTGAATTTCTTCGGAAACGGCATTTTTCGAAGGAAATTTAGCGACTGAACCCTTTCACCAGGTTTAACAATAGTTTGCAAAGTTGATCTATTTTACAAATAATTTCTTTCCTTGAATATAATGTTGAAATATTGCTCTAACAAATTAGTTGACTTAACCTTAAGTAGTTAGTTGACTTTGTGTTAAACTGACTGAGATTCAGTTTACTTCCTCAAAAATTACGAGTGTTTCTCGATAAAAGTGGAGACGGTGCCTGTTTTTCTGGAGACAAAATAACCTTTTCTTCTGGTTTGTGTGTTGCTTAGCTACGTACGTGCTAAGTTACCTTGTTGGTTTATAGTAGTCGATTTCCTTTGAATTTTTCTTAGTCCAGCACATGCATTCCAGTTTAGAGATGGAAAGGTCAAAATAAAAGCAAAATAAATAGTGCTGATTATTCTTTTAACTAAATTGAAATAACTTTTTCGTATTTACAATCTTTATTATCTTTGTAACATAAAAGTGCACCTTCTTGAAGAGAACTGTGGGATAATATTAAAAAATTCCTTTATAATCATCTTTAGTGGATTTCATATTCTGACTTTCCAAATTTCGCTTTTCCTGAAGTCTTGCCTGTTGTAAGGTATGTTCCACCTAAGAAAAAAAGCAAAGTTAGATGCAATGGAACATGGTATAGGAAATAACATTGAAATATTGATATTAGCATAAAAAGGAAAAGATGCACTGTTTAGGATGCAGATTCTACAGCTTTGTCACAGACACTAAGTATTAAATTCATGACGGAAAAGAGAACAGTTTCTGTCAGAGAGAAACAATTCAAACATGATCGTTATAAAATTTCTGTCACATTTTGTTAAATGGTCATCTTTATTATTCTTTAAGAAATGAGACGAAGGAACTACTAGCACAACATCAAAATTTCAGATAAGTGTTTTGCAAAACTTGATTTTCATTTTCAGTGTTAAGGCAGCGTACGCTACCACCAGACAACCTCTTGGTTAGCGAGGTGGATAACTTGAAATTCGCAGGCAAAGGTTCTCTATAGAGCTGATGGAAAGTGTTGCACAAGGAGAAGAAGCAGATGTTGCTCCAACGTGTGAATCGTGCTCTCAAAAGGCACCTATTTAAACAAAATCGTTTTATACAATCGATAGTATATAAATGAGCACAGACTTATATTATTTATTAAATTTATATATATTTAAAATGCACCTGCGAACGTATTCTTTTCTTTTTTCTTCCTTTTAAAAAACTACCGCTTTTTTATACTTTTCAGCAACTACTTTCAAAGAACTTCACTCTTTTTAAGGTATAAACACACCCAAAAACAATATGCCGAAATATGTCAATTGAATTAAAAAAATTCAATTCTGACAGAAAAAAATGCTTTTGAATTCCTCCATGTGCATATAAGGAATTTTGTAGAAAAGAACATAACCTCAGGAAAATCAAACGAAGAAATTTTTAAGAAAGCGATAGTACTATTCTGCTATGTGTTTAATCAAATCTATATGCCCGGATACTTACCACTCCAATCCGTAATTCCATTTCGACTATTTCTTGTCTTAATTTAGAGAGCGCCTGCTTTATCCTCATTAAAGGAGCTGAAAAATAATTATTGTTCATTAAGAAAACATAGAGACACCTCGAGCCAGATGGCTGTATAATTATTGCTCCAGTAAGAACAACTCACGCTGCACAATTGAGACGAAATTAGAATAATGGGGCTGTGTTATAAGTCATGGTGCTGGAGCAAGTAAAGATTGGGATTCAAAGACACAGAATGATTTTCATAACATCTTCAGGAAGTAGGCTATATTTAATTATGAAGGATAGGCAAAAAAATGCCACAGGGATGTATGGACTAAAGGAACTACAAACTTGCAAAAAATATTTAAGGACTGCTTGACAACAACCATAAAGTAGTATTTAATAATAAAAACTATATATGCTGACTTTTGGAAATGTAGAAGACTTTAGGACTGAGAAGGTAAAATGCAGATCTATTGGCACATTCGCAAGTAGGCAAAATTCTTAAACCGAAGGAAAAGTGGATCATGAAGTATTGAAAAGGCTATCTCCTAAGCACTCAATAAAATCTTTTCTCGTGTATCGAAATATAAAAAGCTCTTTCTGCAATGTTTTGAATCTACGCTTTGGATTTAGCTACATACAGGTTTTCACTTTTAGTGCTCATGATTTCTATTTTACCAGAATAGGAAATGTTTCTCGCATCTACGCAAAAGTTTTTAGGATTGACTTAATCTGAGCATACAAGAAGAGCTTTACAAGGCTAAGAATATCTATAAACATTTGGTTGGTTTCTGGAGAGTTAACTTATAACAAATAGTGTTAACAGCTGAACCCAAATTGATTTTGCGATGATGATGCGATGTTGTGATTATAACGTAGAAAAGTATTCTTTCATAATATGATCATCTGCAATCTGAGGAAAAGGTTGTTACAATGGGAAAAGGTTCAAAACATCCTAACATAATTGTTCGGTTAGAAACAGCAGGCCAATATCTAGTATCTAGAATTACATAGCTGGAAATTTTGTGCAATGACCTTCAACTTTTCAAGATGGCAGCAAGTCTTCGCGTTATTAGATATCTTTATTTACAAGCAGTGTCCCTTATACCAACCTGAATCTGTCATATTTGTTCCCCGTTCATCCATTTGTTGTTTTACTTGTTCTAGTTCATCTGTTACCTGAAAATGAAGATAAAAATCTTTGTCAACAAAATAGACATCATGCAGAGTATTGATAAGCTATATTTCACTATATTTTTATTTCAAAATGAGATTATCCAGACATTTAAAATTGCAGGAATACATCTTTTTTTGGCCAACCGGACAGATGTGCATTCAAAACGGTCTAAAATAGTGAATTAACAAAGCGAGGGATAGAATTTTGAACTAACATGCTACCTAAGCCTATGTCTTTAACAGCATTTTTAGGTGTCATAGCTGTAAGACGAACTATTCAAGTTTATTCGTACTTAGGAATAAGAACTTGGTGTTTACGTGAGACGTTTTCTACAAATGTCTTGTTTATAAATCTCTCTTTGACTAAATGCGGTGTGCTTTCTTAAGACTTACCTGAGCGAGTTTCTGTGTAAGCTCGGTGACACCCCCACTGCTTTGTTTATAACGCTCTTTGGCCTACGGATAAAAAGACAAGTCTAATATCACCCTATCAAACAAATTTCTTTAGAACAAGGTAAAATTTGTGCATGATTTTGAAAGATGAAAGCTGTGTTTTTGTTTCTCCATTGCAGCTGAATTTGAACACAAGGTCTGCATCAGCTGACTCTATTCCTAAACAACCTCTTCATTTAATGTACTGTTCCTGTGTCATTTCATGGAATGTAATTTCTGCATGGCAACATTCACTACCAAAGAGCTGCTAAAAAACATTAGAATAATGCAGAATGAAATGAACCTCTGCAAGCTGGTCTTGCTGTCCTCGATATTCTTGCATCAGATTTTCCAGCTGAAACAGAAAATCGAGCAGTTACCACCGGAAAATGATAAAAAGTACTCAAAGCTGCTAAGTTATTATGAATACCTGCTTGTTTATTTCATCAAATGGAATTAATGCTCACTATAAATATGCCATGAAAAAGTGTGGAATGTAGATTAAACAAATAAAAAAACAGACGAAAACTTGTTTTGCTAAAAACTATTACACGGAAAGCATAATAAATATAATCAGGAAATGTGCAGAACATCATATGTCGAATGGATTCATTATGCAAAAGGTAGTGAGATGAGTTTAGCAAAAAATTATGTTTTATCGTGAAAAGTGGTGCGTCAGCCAACAGTAAGAAACAATGAGTAGGTTGGTAGGAATATAAGTGAGTATGCCAACAACACAAACGGAATTCATCAACACGTTATCTTGTTAGCTAGCAGTTTTACCTGGTTGTTTATGTATTTTTCACGACTTGCTATTTTTTCTAGCGTTTTGCTAATCTCTTGGTGAAGTTTATCAAGTTGTCCCTATGAATGTAATAGTAAAAATTAGGAACATTACAAAAAGTTAAATAAAACAATCACGGTACTATAATTTTACAAACCTCTCTTACTGAATGCAATAAATCCTGTATCCACAAAACCAAACAAAAAACTTAAATTTATCTTTATCAAAAAATAAAAAAGCAACTTTCGAAAACTTCGAGGATAACAACTCATTGAAGTATGTGAAATAACAACTGACTATATAAGCCTTTGGAACTGCAAAAGCTCAAATAGTACATAATACTAACACAAAGCAAGGTATATTACTTTTCATCTGAAACTCTTCCGAGTATAAAATATCGTTGTTATTTCCAAGGTTCCAAAAAAAAGTTCCATCTAATACACTTCCTTCTACCTTTCCGTTATCATTCCTTTCGATCCACTGATGTATACAAATTTCCGACATTAGCAAATTGGGAAAGAGCAGTACACAAAGTTTTTTAGCTAGCTATCAAACATACTTTTGTTTCTGTCAAGCTTGTGTCGATACCATCGCTATATTGTTTCATCTGCTCATAGTGACTTCTCCAATCCTGGGAGAGAATCATGACATAGGTTCCATAAATTACAACTTTTAATTAATGTAAGACTTCTTCAATGCCTCAAGACAATAGTAGATACGATAAAAAGAAGGACAGTAGCCATTGCATATTAAAAGAAATCAAAACATTAGTTAAACAGAAATTTGATTAAATGTCCAAATGTTGCTTTTCATATACAAAAATGGCCTGAACAAGCATTGTATACAATTAAGAGTTGCAATTACTTTATTGTCAGTTCTTATGTGAACTTTGAGCATAGGCAAGACCCTCTCTAACTCCAGTTGCCACTCTGCTGAGTCTGTGTTGGACTGTAGCATTGCTTCTGGCTTACTCTCTGGTTTCTCCTGCAAATCAAAACATTATAGATGTAAATGCATCATGTTTTGATTTGTAGAGCACTTTTAATTTTCTTAACAATAGATCAAATAATTCAATTTAAGGGCTAGGAGTAATTGAAAACAGAGAGATGGAGTTCCTCCAATATTACGATTGCTCAAATGATGAAAAACTAGGGGAAGATGGGTAATGTCTAGAGGGGGCACTATGACAACAAGGTCATATTGACCTTTCTAATGCTATCCTTGTCATTTTCAACAAGGGGAGTTTTGGACTACATTCATAACTTTTACCTCTAAATTTTATGTATCCTTAACAAGATCACTATCTGTTATATATTATTAATTTATTTTTCAATTCATTTGATGGCAAAAGTATACATACAAATATACATAAGACCATCATTGATGGTTTGCAAAAAGAAATTCATAAAAAACAGGAAAATTTTGATCTTAAACTAAAAGGACTGCTAAATGTATAAGTGATTTCATGAACAGTTCTGACAGATGAAATAAATGCAGCCCTTGATTTGAAATTACTGGCGACATAGGCATAGGAGACATAGGGGTTGGGAGCATTGCAACCTCCGTATTAGATAACATTTTTCACATTTCAAGCTCAATTCTAGCAGTTCAATCTCTACGAAGCAATGATATTCAGGCAACAACCATACTAAGCCTTCTAAACGTTTGGCATCACCTATGCCAATGACTGCAACCTTTGATTTGAGAATCCTCAAAAAGTAAAAATAGCAGGAATTGATAAAATACTAGTCTAGTTCAACTTACATTCATATATGCTTGCTGCTTCAAACCAGCAAGATCAAGATAACTCTCTTCATCGTCAGCTTCCTCAATTTCTTCCTGTGAAGAAATAATTTTGCAACATAAATCAGAGGAAGAGAGCATAAAAGTGAAGATTTTGCATAAAGAGCTACAGATTGGACAGAAAGACAAAGAGCAAATGAAGCAACAGTTATTTTTCAGTTTTTTGCATATTACTAAGGCACTTCGCTTTGATGGAAAACTCCCCATTATTGACACAAAAACAAGTTAATAAAACCAGCTTGGGCCTTACAGTTACACAATCTTCCAATTTTAAACTTAAAAATGCTGGCAATTGGCATGTATATTTATGGATGAAATATCATACAACTGAAAGAAAATCCAACTACAATGGTGACATAGAAGTAAATTGAAAACAGGGAGTATTGTTACAAAAAAACATTTAAATATCAAGAATCCTTCAAGACGTTTACTGTAGATAAAAAACTAGTCATCATAGAAAAAAAATTGGAAGAAAATGATGTATCTTTAAACAGGACAAATGATAAAGAATAGTAAAACACTATCATCTTGGCTAAAAGATACAGTTTGAGAGTTCTGTAAAGCTTACTGCAAGTTCATCATTCATCTTGTCAATAGTAAGTTCAGCATCATCTTCAACGATAGCCTCTTCCTCCTCCTCTTCATCATCATGCATTGGCCTTAACAAAGGAAATGAGTAGCAGAATTTGAATTTACAGACAGTTCAATAAAACTATTAAAAGATAACAGGGATAAGTTATATCTGCAACCTTTAAGAAAACACCCAACAACACTAGACAAAATACCATTCTTCTATGAGAAGTATTATTATCAGAATTACACATTTATATCTTTATTCAAGTCAGAGAGGTCATTCTACAAATGCTATATACAGAAAACACCTTACCTTTTCCATGCAAACCTTTGAGATTTTAAGGCTTCATCCGAGAGTTTGTCAAGCAGATACACAGCCTTGAAATAAGATTTTTATCATTTCTCAAAGAATAACATGTAGGTACCTATCTATAAAATCAAATAAAGCTCTACTGGTACATCTATTTCACATTAATTTAAAAATAACGTAGAAGCAAATGAAGCAACAAGTCATATCGCCATCAAGATGAAATTTTCTATGAGAAATGCAACCAGAAAATTTTGAACAAAAGAAAACTGTTTAGAACCTTACATTTACTAAAGTTTGAAATTAAAAGGAAAACTTTGAGAGCTTGCAACAACAAAAAACCGGTTAATGATATGAAAAATATAATAAAAAATTGAGAATAAATGAAAAACATTTACATACATGCTCTCCATTCCCGGTCTTTAGTTTTGATGGTGGGAAATCTATGGCAATACCCTAAAATGAACTCACAAATGTTTACAATTACAGCAAAATACTTACAAAATTACACAACAAGTAACTAAAATTTTGCTCCTTTTCTAATAAGTTATTCTTATGATATTTACTAGAAGTTCTTTGGGCACATAAGATGTTGATATTGATTAGTTTCAAAAGTATTAGCAATCATAATCCTTTTACAGCAGCCTGTTGTTAGGGACTATTCCTTGATCTTCAATCAGAATAAGCTGATCTTTATCGCACTGAAAAGAATGCAGGCCTTCCCTTTTGTCTAAAATCTAGTTGTAAACTGCTCAAAAAAATTGTCATTAATATCATTAGAATAGTTGAGATTTATTTGAAAAAGCTGATGCTTGAAGATGAGATTTGGAATACAGAAAGCAAACTTAAATTAACAACATACCAACTTTCTAGATTCATTCAATATGCTGGAAAGTGTTGCATTTGGATCATCATACTAAAATAAAATAAGTTTTAAAAAAGGGTTTTATCTTTGTAAACGGATGGTGATTAAGGACATATCGGTAAGTTAGTTCATAATGTTTACAATGAAGTCAGAGTCAATAACCCTTGTACCCCAGGTAGAGATCTTCACGTTGGAGATTTCGCTTTATTACAACCAATTGGATATACACATCTTAAAAATAATGTCCTAATGCAGATTTTATTGTATGATGACAAAAACTTTCGTATGGAACTAAATAAAAATATATTCCTGCTAACTCTAGATTAGAAAATTAAAACACTCTGTTATAAACCACACAGATGCAATCACCATATCCCATTTAGTTAAAGGTAAACTTCTTCATCGTCATAAATTTATTTACAGTTGGTACTTACATAGTTCTTAAAAAACTAATTTACACCAACTATTTACAATAAACCTAAATAAATATATATAAATATATATTAATTACTAATAAAAGGAATACGAAAGTCTATTTACAAATTGTGCAGAGGCAACTGGCTCAATCCCAAATCTTAATTTCCTTTTTAAAAGCTCCAACAGACTCCAGGTTCTTTGTATCATCATTTAGGGTATTCCACAGCATAGTCCCCTCCCCCTAAATCTGAGGGAGTTTACCCCATATTTTTTTGTGTTAGACCTCTGAGGAAATTCGCATAAAACTTTTTTGTGTAAGTTAGAAGCTATAGATTTTATTTGAAAATTCTCCAGAGATGTGAGAGGTTTAAGTGCTGTTTTGTAACTTTCTCATGGTAGTTTCTGTAGATTTTTCTGTAAAATTATTTTCTTTATACTTAAATTGTTTTTCTTTCAGGTCATGTATTTAATGTAGCAAATATAAAACACCGCAATACGCCGAGAATAAACAACAATAAAAACACGTAAATCAGTAAAGGCTATGTATGTATTTAATGTCTAAGTTTTGTTTTTATTCCCTGTGTCCAAATGGCCCTGGGGTAGTCATAGCCTTCTGCTCCTGGTCTGGATTTCATGGCAGTTTTAGACGAGATCTCTGGAGTACACAAGCTATTAGCCAGAGTGCAAGAGTGCATTTGTGATAAACGTGCACATTTGACCTAATACTTTCAGTTTTGGGTCTGGAATTCAGGCTAACAAAATAATAAAACATTTTTAAACAATTGCAAGAGAGTGACTGCAAAAATTATTCTGATGCGTAGCTTAAAAAAGTCAGAACAATTCTCTGTTTGCTTCTGTTCCATGCAAGTTTGGAACGGTTTCAAAACTATGGTGGTTTACTTTTCCGTTTATACAAGCACTGTGAAACCCAGACGATTTTGCTTTGCTATCCAGCACAGTTTTGACTCTGCTATAAAAGCCGACAAATTTTGTACCGTCATGTTTTAATTTCTTAAACAGGGCAGTAAAAACAGGTCTGAAACTTTTTTGCAGCCCTGATCTCAAATGGATCAGACACTTTTCCAATCCAAGTTGGGAACAAATTTAGAATTAAAGTCATTTTGCTACATTTGAAAAAAACTTTTTATTTTGAGCCAAACCCAAAACCACGCCCAAACAATGCCCATATTTGGGTGTGCAAGAGTGCACTCGTAATTTTCCAAAAATTTCTCGAGAGTGCAGCTGCCATGGAATCCAAACTGGTCTGCTCCCAGTTGTATCAACAAAGTAGTGTTGTAAAGTTGTAAGTAATTTGCAAAGTAGCATAGCTTGTATTACGATATTTAAGTGGATGTAAAAAATACCTCCTGAGGCCTCTCAGTATTGATTCCACACTGGTTCAGTGTCCAAGTTACAATAGATGTGTAGGCAAAAAACTGCTCACCAGGATTTGTAGCCACGACAAAGTAATGCCTTTTGGAAAACAAAATTTCAACAACTGTCTTCTGTTTAATTTAAAACCAAAAGAAATTTTATTTTCTCTATTTGCAATCCCCAATTTGCAGACCAAATGAATTAAGTACCTCAGTTCGGGTTGGGGTTGACACAAACCGCAGAGGTCCATCAAGTTATATGTTGTGCCATAACCCTACGCCGTTTTAAAAAATAAACTTTATGATCGTTATGATCTGATAAGGTTCCTTTATGATCGGTCAATACTTATGATAAGAAAACACATCAGAGTCAGTATGTGCTACGTAGGCCTATTTTCAACCATAACATCTTTAAGACTGTAACATTATAAATAAACTGTCGTGAAAATAACCCTGAGAATTATTTTAATATTTTTGATAAGGTTCCTTTATGATCGGTCAATACTTATGATAAGAAAACACACCAGAGGTCAGTATGTACTACGTAAGCCTATTTTCAACCATAACATCTTTAAGACTGTAACATTATAAATAAACTGTCGTGAAAACCTTGAGAATGGTTTGAATCCCCACTCTTTGCAGAAAGAGGCTTCGTAGTCAAGTAGTTTCAGCTTGTCAAGAACATCTTCCATAACTATAAATGAATTCATGAACTGTGCACCAGGCGCTCCATCTCCACCTTCTCCTCTCCTGTTGTCCTCTTCTGCCATGTTGATTTTCAAATATTTTTTAGCGAGAATGAATATTTGTTTAAAACGAAAATCGAAAATTGGACAAAGTTGGCCTTGTTTTTTATTTGATAGCAACAGCAGCGATAAGCAGCCTCAGCTTCGTTACGAGGCTAACTATCGGGTCTGTCATTAGAAAGTGGTAACTGTATTGAAGTTATTCCATTTATTTCATTTTTTTTCATTTAACTTAATTTTATAAAAAAAACGAAAATTATTTGAAATTTGCTACTTCAACATAACCCCGAAATGAATTTTTCATCTATCAGAACTAGCCGTAAAATTACAAACAATTTTCGGTGGTAAAAATTTTTAAAAAGAAAACCTTTTAACACATCTCAATTGTTCCATCTCATCTGACACACTTCAAAGTATAAAGCATTAAAACATAGATTAAAAATTCTAAGCTAGCAATTATAAATATCAATTCTTGGATCAAGATAATCCAACCAGAGAACGCGAACAGTGTCACTTGCCAATAGAAGATGTTACCAACGAGTTAACATATTATCAAAAGTTCTTCCTTAAATCACAGTAATTTGATTTTGTGTTATTCAAGAGTTTTTTAATCAAGGGATTTCGTGTAATTTACTATTGAAGCAAAATATTCTGAATGTAGGCTACCTAAGCTAATTTACACCAACATGTTTAATATAACCCCCCCCCCCCCGTCCCTGGATGCTACTAATTTATATTGTTTTGAGTCATTGCTATTTTAAGGAGTACTTTTTGACTTTTTAAACATGTACATTTGAAGAAAACTAGAATAACAAGTGGAATTTTACAACTTTACTGCCTTTTAATTTTGGTAGCCATTCGCAAACAAATCCTCTGATTTGGCTCTGTCCATTTCAAGAGTTTGCATTTTGTAATGAAACAATCCTTTTGAAGCACATCCTTGAAAAGCAACCATGAAAATACATAATTTTTGGCTCATGCTACGTATTCTTGGTATATTTTGTGCTAATTTATGCGCAAATATTTGTTTGGCAAAGTTCAATGCTGCCTTTTCAAGGCCGCCGGAGCCGGGCGTCCAAGGGAGGTACTGCCTCACATACTTGGAAAAAGTGTAAAAAGTGTCCTTTTTGAAAAATTTATTGTGTATACCATTTTTACAACCAGATATTTGAATGCAAATATAAATAAGATACGCGAGAAGGCACTGGCAACTGCATAAAGCATTTTCCAGGCGATGAAAAGAAACAAAAAGTTACAAAGAAACCCAAGCTACTTCTGATGCAACTGGAAAAGAACGAAGGCGCAACTTCTGCAAAATTACAATTAAGATTTAGTTTACTAGAAAATCTTTTGAGATCACTGTAATATATCAAGGACAGGAAATATCAATTCTCAAGTAATCAGTGAATTATCATTTGGAATGTGCTCGAAAGAAAGAGTCAACGAGGAACGGAAAAGATTGTGCTTACAGAAATGGGCTTTCCTTGCGTTCAATGACCAGCCTACATCAATGCAAGATCGTAACTGCTGTAAAAGAACCCACGCAGATGGAGATAATAGTTACAACATACAACAACAGCAAAATCACATAACATTAGACCTAGAATATGCAGGCGACATCACAAGCAAAACATAAGACTACACCTACACTAAAAAACCTACCAGATTTACCAGAAATTCTTTCGAAGCGCAAATTGATCATAAATACAAGCAAAACTGAATAAATAGATATTAATATAAGATATAAATTTTACCACAGCTCCTTGATAGTGTACTAGATAAAGGAAACGACATCAGCCGACGCAAAGGTATCATCATTCAATCTGCGAACATACTGAAATTAATCTCTAACAAAAAATACATCAGCACCTACGTTACATCCAAATTCCTACACAGCTCAAAACTCTGAGCTTTAACGAAAATAAAGTACCGAAAATAAAGTGACAGTTTTTATAGAAGACGATTACAAACATACATCTTTAACATGAATTATCAAAATGTAATGAAAATGATGATATCTACCAACAAACCAATAAAACTCCATGGAGTAAGATAATCGAAAAAGGTAAACTTAGCTAGTTGGGACATGAACTTAGTTCACCAGAACAAACCCCTACAAAGCTAGCCTTAGCATAACTGATGAAAAATATACAAGACCAAGAGGCTGCCCGAAACTAAAACCTACGGATTATTTATAAAATCGAATGGAAATAAGCTTGTAAACTAGCAAAAGATAGACTTGCCTTGCAAAAACATTTCAACGAGAAACCAAGTGTTACACTAGATAAATTCATTTACGAAAAAAGTGTTTTATAATAATTTGGAGTGGAGTTAAAGCAACGAGTTTGGGGCTCAGCGGTAGCAAATGGGGCACAGATTGGAAAGGATTAACAAAAAGTAAATTTGAGAATAGAGCTGGGACAATTTAAAAAGTAAGGAAAATAGCATAGTAAAGAAGAAAGGTGAAATGTGGGGTTGGAAGAAAGCAACTAAAATGTTGAAAGGGTCTACAAAATAATAGAACAGAAAATAAAACTGTAAGAGCAAAAAACAGACGAAGGAATTTGAAAGAAATCTAAAAAAAAGCAGAACTGTAAGCCGTTTGAGCAGTAAAATCTCAGAAACTAACCAGAAAGTCATGTAAATAGGAGTTATGTTTCTCGTGTTGAATTGATTAAACACCACACACTATGTTGCCTAAAACGTAAAGTATGATCATTTTCTATGAATTGCTTTTTCACCTGGACACTTGAAAAACTACCGAAATAATTTGCAATGCCTACCCAAAGTAGCCTGTGCCCCAGTCCACAAATGCTGCCGCATCTATGGACTGTCCAATATTGATAAATATCCTGTCCACAGTTTTCACCAGTATCTGGTGGTAATTTATGCAACTCTCCAAAATTATGCAATTAGCTGAAAATGTCAACGGTTTAAAATGGCGACGGAAGATGGCACAGCTTCTGTAAGCGGTGGAGTTGACGGTCGATTTGAGGAGGCACTGGGGCACAGGCTAACCCAAAGTCATTCAAAGGATTTGCTACAAAAGATCATTCAAAAACTTCATTTCCATTTGCCCCTTCAAAATTCATTCGTCTGTAATATTAGAAAGATTATCTAATTTCAACCAAAAAATGAAGGAAAAATTCATCTACATCTACAATATAAAAATGACATTTACCTAAAAATTTTTTAATGACAATAATACAAAATGTTCTAAACTTCAAGTAGGCTAAGATTATAAAAGAATATATTGTCCGGTTTTGAGCTCATAAAATGCTTGAAAGATGTTTCGTATTTTCATAATTCCGAGCAGCATCATGTATCTCTTCGTATTGAGATTGCAAGCCTGCGTAAGTTGAATCTGTTGTTGCAATTTGTCCCTGCAGATCCATGTAATGTGTCTCCTTTGGCTGTGCATTACTAAGATTTCAACAAAATGCAATTACACTCGTTTATCTCTGCCAAAAACTTAGAGATAAACGAATGAAACTAACACAAGGCACCCTTTTAAAATTGGAAAATTGCAAAAAAGAGCAGCAAAGGACATGTGACACACTTTTTAAAAGAAAAAACCAACCATAATTTGCAATAGAAAAATACTAGAACGATCGTAACTTGGTGAACACTTTACTCGATTTACCTTCTGTTTCCATTGTCTTGAGCTAGAAAAACAAATGAAACCTTGATACTATTTCAGGTATGATTCCCAACTATATTTAATAGTGTAAAACGAAGAATATTTTTGCACAAAACTGTCATAACGGATACCTTGTGTTGTTTTTGCCATTCTTCTAATGAAACAGATCGCCATTGTTGCCATGGCAATGAGTAAGATCGCAACCATTACTGAAAGCGCTATGATAATGTTGTCTTTCCTTCTATCGCTTTTCGCTGCAATGGCAATACAAAATATTTACGTCATGGGCGATTTCTTCACCTAGATAGTGTACCACACTCTCCTTCATAAGAAAATTTTTATAAGAAATTCGCCTCAAAATTGGTTAAGAGTAAAGAACTGATTAAGAACAAGATAAAGCTGAGGTCCTGCAAAATGCAATTTTGGATTTAACTCCCTTGAAAAAATTCAATCCCAAAAGAGAGATGTTTTTTAATTTACTTTTTCAGCTATATAAAACTTTTCAAGTCAATACCACCAATCCAACAATCGTAATAAAACTGAAGAATCAATGAGAGCGAGGGAGAACTTGCCTTGTTTTTCTTTACATGCTGTTGGCTGAATGCTTGTCTTTTCCTTTGCTTTTTATATATGCGTCATGCCTATTCTCTTTGTTGGTTTATCCGAGCTTGGTACTGGTGTTGTTGGAAAAAACGTTTGCAACTTAAGGTGTCCAAAAATAGGTTTTCTAAGCACTATGGTTTTAAACGGCTGTAAATCGTCCAAAAACTATAATAACAAACAGATCAGGTAAATGGTCGACGAAAGGAAAATAAAAACGCGTTTATGAATGAGATATATACCAACCCGGTGTTTTTGAAGTTTTTGATGTAGTGGTCGGCGGTAGTGTTGTTGGGATAAGTGTTTCTGAGACTTTGGCAGTGAAGACC